ACCAAGGAGGAGACAGGGGACTCCCCTGAGAAGGAGGCTAGTTCACCAACACGGGAGCCAGATATATGGAGAAACGTGACTCAAAGAAGTAGGAGGCCCAGGGTTCGCTCTGATTGTTTAGAAATACGCAATCGCTTTGAGGTCCTCTCCCCTAACATGGAAGACGAAGAGCAGACTCCATTTGAGGATCTCTCCCTCATTACAGTCGATCAGGTATATGAAGACGAGCAGCAAAGTCAGTCCTCAGGGAATGTGCAGGCGATCTTGGAACGGACAGCTCACGGAAGAACCCCGACCAAACCTAAGAGGAGGCGTGTAGTGGTGATAGGGGATTCCCTACTGAGGGGAACAGAAAGAGTGATCTGTGGGCCTGACAAGATGTCTCGGGAAGTGTGCTGTCTCCCCGGGGCTAAGATCCAAGATGTAACTGAACGACTGCAAGGAATCATAAAACCCACTGACAAATACCCCTTCCTCTTGGTTCATGTGGGAACCAATGACACTGCAAGCAATAGCCTCCAGAAGATCAAAAGAGACTACGAGGCTCTCGGCAGGAAATTGAAGCAACTAAATGCACAAATTGTCATCTCATCTGTCATCCCAGTTGAACGACGTGGCCCAGGGAGAGAGGGAAAAATAGTGGAAGTGAACAGCTGGCTTCGCAAATGGTGTAAACAGGAACGGTTTGGATTCTTAGATCACGGACTGCAGTTTCTTGAAGATGGACTTCTGGCAAGCGATGGGCTGCACCTCACAACGGTTGGGAGAAATGTTTTTGCCAAAAATCTCAGAAACCTCATCAGGAGGGCTTTAAACTGACTAATGTGGGGGAGGGAGACAGTGCTCCTGAAGGTAGGAGTCTATCAATTGATGAAGATGATCATCCAAATGTCATAGACCGAATGGAGCAAAGAGCATGCAGACCTAGTGGTGGGAGGAGAAAATCCTTAAATAAGAGACACGGGGGAATGATTAATGGACTTCAATGTCTGTACACTAATGCGCAAAGCATGGGAAATAAACAAGATGAGCTTGAGCTCTTGGTACAGCAAACTAAATATGACATAATAGGCATCACTGAAACCTGGTGGGATAAGTCCCACGATTGGATTGTAATAATGGGGGGATACAATCTATTTCAGAGAAACAGACCGGACAAGAAAGGAGGAGGAGTGGCGTTATATGTCAGGGATGTGTATACCTGTGAAGAAATCCAAGATTTAGAACCTCAAAGCCAAAGTGAGAGCATTTGGGTCAAAATTAATGGAGAGAAGAATAACAGAGACCTCATTGTGGGAGTTTACTATAGATCCCCAAGCCAAACGGAGGACATAGATGATGCCTTCCTGGAACAGATGGCCAAGCATGCAAAAGGAAGGGAGATAGTAGTAATGGGGGACTTCAATTACCCGGATATTTGTTGGATGTCAAACTCAGCCAAGAGCATAAGGTCAAACAGATTCCTCACTGGCCTTGCAGACAACTTCATTGTCCAGAAAGTGGGAGAAGCAACAAGAGGAACAGCCATTTTAGATCTGGTCCTAACCAATGTTGATGACCTGGTTAGTGGGGTAGAAGTGGAAGGATCATTAGGCGCGAGTGATCATGCTCTTCTGAAGTTTACTATACAGCGGAAAGGAGCAGCCAAGCATACTAGGACTCAATTTCTTGACTTTAAGAAAGCCGACTTCATAAAACTTAGGGAAGTGCTGGGTGAGATCCCATGGACAGTAATACTAAAAGGAAAGGGAGTTCATGATGGCTGGGAGTTTGTTAAGAGGGAGATAGTAAAAGCACAACGTCAGGCAATACCAATGAGACGGAAACATGGAAGGTGCTTAAAGAAGCCAGGGTGGCTATCTAAAGAACTTTTAACTGAGTTAAGATTAAAAAAGGATGTGTACAAAAAATGGAAAAGGGGGGAAACCACCAAAGAGGAATTCAAACAAATAGCCAGCACGTGTAGACACAAAGTCAGAAAAGCTAAAGCACAGAATGAACTCAGGCTTGCTAGAGAGGTTAAAAGCAACAAAAAAGGCTTTTATGGGTATGTTCGTAGCAAAAGGAAGAACAAAGAAACAGTGGGGTCACTCAGAGGAGAAGATGGTGAAATGCAAACAGGGGACACAGAAAGGGCTGAACTCCTCAATGCCTTCTTTGCCTCAGTCTTCTCCGATAAAGAAAAAAATGCTCGACCTGAAGAATTTGGAGCAAATGATTCAGCAAAGGAAACACAGCCCAGAATAACTAAGGAGATAGTACAAGAATACTTGGCTAGTTTAGATGTATTCAAGTCTCCAGGGCCAGATGAACTGCATCCAAGAGTATTAAAAGAACTGGCGGATGTGATCTCAGAACCACTGGCAGTCATCTTTGAGAATTCCTGGAGAACAGGCGAAGTCCCGGCAGTCTGGAGGAGGGCAAATGTTGTCCCTATTTTCAAAAAGGGGAAAAGAGAGGACCCAAATAATTACCGCCCAGTCAGTCTGACATCAATACCAGGGAAGATTCTGGAGCAGATCATTAAGCAAACAGTCTGTGAGCACCTAGAAAGGAATGCTGTGATCACCAACAGTCAGCATGGATTTCTGAAAAATAAGTCATGTCAGACTAACCTGATCTCGTTTTTTGACAGAATTACAAGCCTGGTAGATGAAGGGAACGCAGTGGATGTAGCCTACCTTGATTTCAGCAAGGCATTTGACAAGGTGCCCCATGATATTCTTGTAAAGAAGCTGGTAAAATGCGGTCTTGACTATGCTACCACTCAGTGGATTTGTAACTGGCTGACTGACCGAACCCAAAGGGTGCTCATCAATGGTTCCTCTTCATCCTGGAGAAGAGTGACTAGTGGGGTGCCACAGGGTTCTGTCTTGGGCCCGGTCTTATTCAACATCTTTATCAACGACTTGGATGATGGACTCAAGGGCATCCTGATCAAATTTGCAGATGACACCAAACTGGGAGGGGTGGCTAACACCCCAGAGGACAGGATCACACTTCAAAACGACCTTGACAGATTAGAGAACTGGGCAAAAGCAAACAAGATGAAATTTAACAGGGAGAAATGTAAAGTATTGCACTTGGGCAAAAAAAAATGAGAGGCACAAATACAAGATGGGTGACACCTGGCTTGAGAGCAGTACGTGTGAAAAGGATCTAGGAGTCTTGGTTGACCACAAACTTGACATGAGCCAACAGTGTGACGCGGCAGCTAAAAAAGCCAATGCAATTCTGGGCCTCATCAATAGGAGTATAGCATCTAGATCAAGGGAAGTAATAGTGCCACTGTATTCTGCTCTGGTCAGACCTCACCTGGAGTACTGTGTCCAGTTCTGGGCACCACAATTCAAGAAGGACACTGACCTACTGGAACGTGTCCAGAGGAGGGCAACCAAAATGGTCAAAGGCCTGGAAACGATGCCTTATGAAGAACGGCTAAGGGAGCTGGGCATGTTTAGCCTGGAGAAGAGGAGGTTAAGGGGTGATATGATAGCCATGTTCAAATATATAAAAGGATGTCACATAGAGGAGGGAGAAAGGTTGTTTTCTGCTGCTCCAGACAAGCGTACACGGAGCAATGGATCCAAACTACAAGAAAGAAGATTCCACCTAAACATTAGGAAGAACTTCCTGACAGTAAGAGCTGTTCGACAGTGGAATTTGCTGCCAAGGAGTGTGGTGGAGTCTCCTTCTTTGGAGGTCTTTAAGCAGAGGCTTGACAACCATATGTCAGGAGTGCTGTGATGGTGTTTCCTGCTTGGCAGGGGGTTGGACTTGATGGCCCTTGTGGTCTCTTCCAACTCTATGATTCTATGATTCTATGATTCCCCCCGGCTGAGCAGCCCCCCCCCTGGGCACGTCTGCTTCAGTCGCTGGCAGAATCCGTCAGTGGGCGTTTCCTAAACTTCCTCCAGCATAAAAATTCCTTAACAGACAGCCTCTTTCTATCCTGTCTGCGCGGCAGCCTTCTGCGCAGAGTGGGCGTGCCTATCGGTGGTCCTCCACTCTCCTCACTCACCTCACTGGAAGAGTCTCGGAGCCTTCCCTCCGAAAAGCTCTCAACCCCTTCTTTCTCCCTTGTGTCTCCTTGATTCTCTTCCCCAGCGGACTTCCTCTCTATCCCTGTACTGGTTCCCTCTCCGGCATCATTTGGGAGCCTCGCCTCTCCACTCTGCTCCGATGTCAGTTTCCTGACATTTGCTTCTTTGTGTTTGACAGACTTGAGATGGTACTCCTAATTTTTAATTGTTTTTATTTTGTCTTTCTGAATTAACTCCTTTTTCTATGGACCCAGCTGTTCAACTTGGGTGATGTCAGATTCAGACATCCCAGATTAAGTGAGCCTTTGTGCACAGGACTGAGATGTAGCCCTGTTTTACCTGGCAGGTCATTCAGCCTATAGAAGTCTCCTGTGGTCTACTCAGACCATGTGGAGGGTCCATCCCAAGAACCTGCAATGGTAGGAGGACGCTTGCTGTTGGATGGGGGGTGGGGTAGAGGGTGAGGATAGGGAACCAGCTCACCATGATAAGAATGTATCTAGTAGGGCTTTGGAAGCCTTTTGTTCTGTAGATGTGAACGTTGTCACCTGTGGTACCAGCTACTTCATGAAATGACTGAATAATGCCGTAACATTTCTAAGATGTTTTGCTTAAACTTTGGTTCTTTGAGTAATGTGGACGTAATTTTGCCAGATGTGACACACGCACACAGTAAAAATGTTTCTGGATGTTGCTCTAGAACGCCCTGTTGGTGATACCTGTGACAAGGTATATTTTTTCTCTTTTACAAATAACTTAGTGTGAGTAATACATAGTTTTTTTAAAAATAATAATTGCTTGGGAGCCAATATTTGATTTAGAAATAGTCATAGAAATCTGTTTGAAATAAATATTAATACATGTCCCGATGATCTTTTTTTCTACGCACTTCATTACACGCAAGCGTATTCTAACTGATTTTCTTTTCCCTTCTGAGTTGTTACTTTGTTTTTGCAGTAGGTGGTGATGAATGTAATTCTATAACTAGAGAGACCACCTTGCATCCGGATGCCAGTTTAGTCCCTGCAGGAACCTCCAAGACAGTCCTCAAGCCTCTCAGGAAACGATCAAAAAGTGATCCTGTGCTGCATGGATTTCCACCAAGAGGTGACTGGGGTTTTCCCCTAAGGAAATTTACTATAGCTTTCAGTTGTGGACCCATTCACTTTTATTTTCAGCCAGTGGACGGGAGTGAAGACCTGGACTCTGACCCTGTTTTTGCCCAATTGGGCAGTTCAAATTTTGGTGTTAGCAGGTTATCTTGCCATCCACAGTGGCAAAGGAGGTCCCAGTTGCCAGTCATGACAAATAGGCTTTTTGTCCCCCTGGTGGAAGAGGGGAAGCCATGCTGGGCCGCAACTGCTGCCCACCCAAGAGCCAGGTAAGCAGCCATTTCAGGCTGCAAAATAAAAGAGGTCTGCAGTGGTACCTCAGGTTACATACACTTCTGGTTAAATATGCTTCAGGTTACACACTCCGCTAACCCAGAAATAGTGCTTCAGGTTAAGAACTTTGCTTCAGGATGAGAACAGAAATTGTGCTCCGGCGGCGCAGCGGCAGCAGGAGGCCCCATTAGCTAAAGTGGTGCTTCAGATTAAGAACAGTTTCAGGTTAAGAAAGGACCTCCAGAACGAAATAAATACTTAACCTGAGGTACCACTGTATTTGCATTTAAGACTTTTTGATCTGTAATTGGACTGATGCCTTGGAGGAGCATGTTAACTAATGTAAAAATTGTGTGTCTGTCTGTCTGTCTTGTTAGTGTGTATTCCTTAGTAGTTTCTTAATTCTAGCAACAATTTTGTAAAATACATCTTCAGGGATGTCATTTTGCATACTACTACAAATAGTAGATGAAGTGTTAGGCCTGTATTTGCACTTTACCCTTCAGATACTGTATTTTTCTGTGTCTGACACTGCTGTTTGCTAAATTTGTTTAGTCCAAAAATGGGGGTCATCTTAAACATAGATGGTGAATGCACAGGGCTTGGGCCCTGGTGCAGGTGCCTGGGTTCTGGTTCTTGAAATATGGCAACCCTAACTTGGGCCAACTGCTAAAAAAAGAAGAAGAAGAAGAAAAAGAAGCAGCTCAGGAACTTAAGGCAACTTCCCTCAAAAAAGCTCAACAACTTGGGGTGACCTCCCCCCAAAAAGCTCAAAGTTGTTCTGTTTGATGTTTAAAATGCTGATTTCTTAATTTTGGGTTCAAAAAAATAGGGGTCGCCTTATAGTAGTACTATCACAGTTTTACCATCTTATTTTCTGGTTATGAGTTGCCGGTCTAGTGGCAGAGTTAAAGCCCATCCAATGAATTTTTGGCAAATACAGGATTTGAATTGAAGTCTTTTGGGGCCAAAGCCAGATCAAGTTTCTGGAACAGAGCTAGAAAATACTAATAACTTCTTAAGCAACTGTTCCAGTCTGTTGTATGCCTATTCTATGCAATACTAATATTTAGAATTATTTGAAGCCACCATTAAATTTCACGCCAACTAAGTTTTCTGCATCTAGTAAGCAGTCAAGACTGCTATCATGCAATCAGAGGCAATATTGTGCAAGTTGCAAGTAGTATGGTTGAGTGTGGATGACCATAGTAAGTCATAATAAAAACATATAAAGGTAAAGGTACCCCTGCCCGTACGGGCCAGTCTTGACAGACTCTAGGTTTGTGCGCCCATCTCACTTAAGAGGCCGGGGGCCAGCGCTGTCCGGAGACACTTCCGGGTCACATGGCCAGCGTGACAAGCTGCGTCTGGCGAGCCAGCGCAGCACACGGAAACGCCGTTTACCTTCCCGCCAGTAAGCGGTCCCTATTTATCTACTTGCACCCGGGGGTGCTTTCGAACTGCTAGGTTGGCAGGCGCTGGGACCGAGCAACGGGAGCGCACCCCACCGCGGGGATTCGAACCGCCGACCTTTCGATCGGCAAGCCCTAGGCGCTGAGGCTTTTACCCACAGCGCCACCCGCGTCCCTTAATAAAAACATATACTTCTCTGAAATATATATATCCTTAATACTGATTGACTCTACACTTTTGTAAGACCTATGATTATCAGGTTCCCTTTTTTATAGCTAGAGACAGCTGATCTGCCTTATTCTTTTGGGAGGTAGGAGGGTTTGGCAAACATCACATGCTCTGCCGTGCACAATTCGAAGTGCTGGATGCAAGCCTACGTATATGCTACCCAGAAGCATTTCCTTTTTCTTTTCAGGTCCAGTGCTGAGTTGTGAAGCTGCTACCCAAACAGAATTAAAACCAGAACTAGCTACTGTCACTTTGCGAAAGAGTCTGAGAGCAAAGGCCTTGCGCTCACGGCCTCGGTCTTTGATAGACTACAAATCCTACATGGATACTAAACTGCTCGTGGCAAGGTTTCTAGAGCAGTCGTCCTGCACCATGACCCCTGACATACATGAACTAGTGGAAGACATAAAATGTGTTTTAAAATCAGATGAGGAGCACATGGAGGAAGCCATCCACAGTGCCAGCTTCCTTGAGCAGGTAATTGATTATTGCAGCTGAACTCCTATGTTCCTTCACAGCAATTGACATATCTGGCTTTCAGGATGCAGATTCATTTTGTAGCTGCAGTTTTGGAAGTCTTGCTGCCTGTGTCAACTTGGTTTTTGAAAGGAAAAATAATAGTTCAGTCAGAATCAAACAGTTTAGGATTCTTTTTATGCTAGGTACTGAATGTGGTGATGGAAAAATCTAGTCACAATTCTCTTCACATTTCTCCAAGCCCGGAGCTAGTGATAATAAGTGGTGAATCTGTGTCAATATTTTTTATTTATTAACTTTTCACTTCTTAATTTATAAAATTCATCCCTATGGCAGAGTGAAACAGCAAGAAGGATAAACATATGCTAACTTCATGTGGAGGTAGTGATCATGTTAATGCAGGAAAAAACCTCATTATATACTGATGTAGTACTACTGACAAGTATGGAATAATATTTTACTTACTTGGAAAATAACCAAAAGGACTATGATACTTGTCAATGAAGCCTCCAAACTCATTTAGCAAAACATAAAAATATGGACCAGCCCCTTCGATTATCTGCAGCCTTTTAAAGTCTGGATCTGGGAGGCGGATAAGTCTTAGATACACAAATAACACCACAAACAGGGGAAGAAGAGTATGTGCTGGGGGAATGGATCGCCTCTTAATATATCTGCTTTGGTTTGCTAAGTTACTATCAAATACGAGATTATTTCCTGCTTATCCAATTCCATACTGAACTAGGAGAGGAGTGGAAATGGCTCAAGTTTTGAAACCAGCCTGCTTGTCATAGGCCTCTTATTGCTTTTATCCTAAAAAAAAATTCTTTTTAAAAAGCAAAGTGGATACAACTCATTTGTCTGGATTACTGAATAGTTTTGCTATCGTTAGGAGTAAGTGCTATAGACCCATCAATAAAAGACTAAATCAGAGTCTTTTTAGGTAGCATTCCAAATAAATAAACTTATGTACAGGCTCAAATTCACATGTGACTTGACTCTTTTTCAACATACTGAATGGCCCATTTTAGTGTTGATTGTTGGGATTTTCATAATGAGAAGTAACTGTTTTCCTCCCTTGATATAAAAATGTGAATGGAAGGTGTTATAAGGTAAACAAAACTGTACTCCCCCCCTTTTTTGTGAAGGTAATGATCCCTGCGTGTTCATCTGCATCAAAGGCATATACGCTGCCTTTTAGAAAGCACCCGGGACTCCTGCACTTGGAGAGCTGTGGGGATGTGAGTACTTTTACTACAGCAGAAACTCGGCGGCTGGAGAAAACACAGAGGTCAGAGCCTGAACGGCCACATAGTCTCATTGGAGTTGTACGCGAAACAGTGCTCTGAACTAATAGCTATGAGTACTTTTATCAGATGCAATGAACAGACCAGAAAACCACTCTGTGAAAAAACAAGTTAATCTGTATTTCATACTTATTGCTGCTTTTGGAAACAATACTTGAGGACACTGTTGGAAGAGGTTACTTCTAGGAAAACCTCAGAATGTTCCAATGTTGAAGCTGTCTTTAAACCAAGTATATTCAGGTGCAATTTGTATATATGAGAAGCACTTTTTATTGGGTGTTGGGAAGAAATAAGAGCATGTGTTTGAAGATGTTTGGAAGCAATTGATTCATTCTACTTAAACTTCTGTAGAATGGCTTTATGCCTCCAGTAGCTGTGGTTTCACTTGCGATCTGCAGTTAATTGCTTGTGTTTTGTCTCCAAGGAAATATGTGATAGAGTTAGCCATTGGAATTGATGTCAAACTAAAAGTGTTCTCTCCTCCACCCTTCTCTGGAGATCAATTGGTGCTATACACCCATTAGTGGATGAATCACACCCTCAATCACAACTATTCAGCTGGATAAATATGTAATGGAAAACACCAATGTTGTCCACATGTACTGTGTTAAGAGTAAAAACAAAATTAATATAAAGAGTTTACAATGGGCCTCTCAGCCATTGAATGAACCTGGCTTTAATTTTTTGAACATGCTACCTGAAAGTGTTAAGGAGATAAGGGGAGCCCTCAGAAGAGCATACATTGCTGTCCCATTCAGGAAAAATGCTAAGGTGAAAGTACAAGCCACTCTAGCAAGGAAGGACTGCACCTCTGAGTGTTTTCACTACCCTTGGTTGAACAATATACCGTATTTTTCGCTCTATAGGATGCACTTTTTCCCCTCCAAAAATGAAGGGGGAAAGTGTGTGCGTCCTATGGAGCAAATGCAGGCTTTCGCTGAAGCCTGGAGAGGCAGCTCTCTCGCCAGGCTCCGCAGGCTTGCGAATAGCAGGCAGCAGCCTGAATCCCTAGGAGCGCAGCGCTGCGCACCCCGGGCTTTGGGCAGCTATCCTCAAGCCTTTAGAGCCCGGCGGGAGTTCCCACCTGGCTCCGCAGGCTTGCAGACAGCTGCGCTCCAAAGGCTTCAGGGTTCTTTGAGGCTGGCGGTGGGGGAAAGCAGCGCTTCCCCCCACCGCCAGCCCCACAAGCTCGGGGGGCAGCGGCAAGGCCTGCTCTTGAACGCACCTTGTTTTTGTTTGTTTTTTAAAATAATTTTTATTAAGTTTCATATTACCAAATTAAACACATCAAATCAATTAGTCCAAATTATAACAATACATATCATGTAGTCCAATTATTTTCCAAATTATAAATTTTTGTTGGGGGTACCCATGCTTTTCGATCGGCAGGAGTCCAATCCTCAACTGTTTTCTGCTACTTTCATATTAAGAATCATATTTCCAGACCCCTCTTCTCAATGCTTGTCATTCCTCATTTTCCTTTCCTTTCACCTCCGAATTGCTCCGCAAGTGGGTTGAAAAAACAACAACCAGTTTTGTTTGTATTTCTGTGTGGACTTTTATACTGCTCTCTTGTAAATCCCAATAGTCCGAACAGTTCCGCTCGAGCAAGCAATCGCCATCTTGTCTTCCGATGAAATACAGTCCAAAAGCTCGCTTTTTAGCTTTCTCAACCTGTTGCATCGTAAATTAGTCTTTTTCCAGGAGGGCTGCCCCTTCCAGATCGCAATCTCGTCGAAAATAATAAATCTTCGGCTCGCCCTTCCCCAAGACCAAACCTTCCTGCAACACAGGTCTCATATCGAATCTCCATTTTAACTGCGTCACAAAAGAGAGCCCTTCTTCTTTCCAAGCCCTTTACAGAGTAAAACCTTTATCATCTTATTCCCACACAGTTTGTTTTCAGTCCCATTTGCCAATTAGTTGCTGTGACGGATCTTCTAAGAGGGAGGGTTATTAATTAATCACATAGAGGGGGAAAAGATAAAAAGTCATCCCCCCCCCTTTCAGTTCCGTTGCTCTCCAATCCACATACCAGCTTGTCTGTAGTACTTGATGTAATCTTCCATCTCAGTCTTCTTCATTTCGGTGGTACGATTGTTAGCAGATCAAGACCTCCTGCCTCTCTTGAAGCATGTGCGTTATCTTTCACCAATTTTTCTTTTCTTTTAAGTAACGCAACTAGTTTCGCTCCTGGAAGCAGCTTCGGAGGAGTTCCGAGGCCCACCGAGGGTTATGCACCCAGTGCCTCACCCCCTCCTTCTTCCGAACTCGGGGGTGATTTATGGCAACAGTGGGTGAAAACTGCATCTCTCCCCCCTGGAAAGATGTTAGGGAGACTGATTTACTCCCCATAATCAGCCTCTAATTACCTCGTGCGGGCTGGATAGATGTTAATATCTGCCATCTTTCAAGGTGCCCCTAGCGGCCCCCCCCCAGCGGCACCTTGTTTTTGAGGGGGAGAACAAGAAAAAAAAAATACCCTATTCTCCCCCTCCTATGGTCCGGTGCATCCAATAGAGCGAAAAATACGGTATGCAGAGTTTAAAGAACATATTCAATTAATGTTATTAGGCATAAAAACCAACTCTATTTACTCATGCACGATGTCATTGAAGGATAGTAATGGGTTCTTCAAGGATCATTGAGGAACCACAGCCTTGTAAGCAGGTCTTGCACCAGTGTCAGTAGTAGAACCAAACAGCACTTGTAAACTCCCTTCCTTTGATTGTTTGGAAAGTGAATGTGAATGCAGGAGAGCTGGCAATGCATTGAGAATTACTGCTATTGCTAGGTCTTGGAGTGGGGTTCTGTTTGGAAAATGGAGCTCCTGAATGCCTCGCAAGACGGAAAACTCGCAAGACGAAAGGGTTTTCCGTTTTTCGAGGTACTTCGCCAGACGAATTTCCCTATGGGCTTGCTTCGCAAGAAGAAAGCCCATAGGGAAATCTCCGGGGACCTCTTTTAAAATGCTGGCGGTCGGGAGCAAAGACTTTCACCCACCGCCGGCCTTCAGAAGAGGTCCAGGACCTCTTCTGAAGGCCGGCGGGGGGCAAAAGTCTTTGCTCCCGACCGCCTGCCTTCCCAGGATAGCAGAGAAGCGCAGCACGTTTCTCCGCTATCCCAACGGCTTTTGAAGGCAGGCGGGGGGAGCAAAGACTTTCGCCCCCTGCTGGCCTTCAGAAGAGGTCCTGGACCTCTTCTGAAGGCCGGCGGGGGGCGAAAGTCTTTGCTCCCCCCCCGCCTGCCTTCCCGGGACAGCGGAGACTTCTCCAATGTCCCGGGCGATCTTAAAATGCTGGCGGTTGGCAGCAAAGCCCTCCTGTCCCCGGAGCTTGCGGGGCGGGAGGTGGGGAGAAGGGCTTTTCTTCCCACCGCCAGCCTTCAGAACAGCCTTCTGAAGGCTGGTGGTGGGAAGAAAAGCCCTTGTCCCCCCCCCCCCAGCCTTCAGAAGAGGTCGGGGGACAGACTGTCCCCGGACCTGGTCTGAAGGCGGTTTCCATAGGAACACATTGATTTTCAATGCATTCCTATGGGAAACCGTGCTTCGCAAGACAAAAAACTCGCAAGAAGAAAAAACTCGCGGAACGAATTAATTTCGTCTTGCGAGGTACCACTGTAATCTAGTTAAGAGATAGCAGCAGTGCTTCCCTTGCCCCCAATACTAGACTACTGTTATTGCTGGCTCTTATATCACTGCTAAATAATGCACATTTCCCTCCAAACTAATAAAAAATAAAAGTGAAAGGATGGTAGGTGAAAAAGTTCCATGACTAAGAGTCAAAAGAAAACAGTGGACAAGCATTTGCCCTGCCCCATGAGAGAGCCAGGACCTCGGCTACAGCTCTAGAACATGCCCAAAAATGGTTCTATGGAAACATAAAATCAGTGTGGGATTGCACATAAACATAAACTAAATGGCCTATTCAGATGATGTAGCTAAGTGTGCAACAATCTCAAATCTTAAACATAAGTATACATTTAGTACCGTAATTCCAGCAGTCACGGCAGATGTTCTCCTGGAGAGAGTTTGGTTATCCCGGGGGATTTTAACATCCACGCCGACACGACCTTACAAGGGGCTGCTCGGGACTTCGTGGAAAGCATGGCCTCCATGGGGCTGTCCCATGGACATGGGCCCAACTCATACTCGCGGACATGCCTTAGACCTGGTGTTGGATGTGGATGATCTGACACTAAGTAACAGCGAAACTAAAGAAGTGCCATGCTCAGATCACTTCCTGGTGCAACTGGACTTCTCCACGACCCTACCCCTCTGCAGGGAGATAGGACCTATTCAGGTCATCTGCCCCCCTGAAACTTAATGGATCCAAATGGTTTCCAGAGAGTGGTAGGGGATGCTTTATCCCATGTTGGTGGCCTTTCAACTGGTTCCCTGGTGGCCCGCTGGAATGTGGAGTTAACCAGGGCTACTGACTGTCTGGCTCTGAAGTGCCCTCTCCGATTGCATTGGAGCCCGGACCGCCCCGTGGTTTTCCACGGAGCTGAGGGCAATGAAACAATCATTGAGACAGCTAGAGTGCCAGTGGCAGAAAACTCATTCTGAATGGGACCGGACACGGGATAGAGGTCAACGTTGAGCCCACCAAGTGACTATAGCAACGGCGAAGAAGACCTTCACCGCCTCTATTGCATCTGCAGAAAACAGCAGCAGGACACTCAGGTGGTTCGCAATTTAAAGGAACCATTGGGGCCTGGTATGGGTCACATGATCTCCTGCAATTATTTTGCGAAGTTTTTTTGCAGATAAAGTCGTTCAGATGCAGAATGACTCCACTGTGGGAGCAGGGCTGGGGCAGGAGAGTGCTGGTTGTGTAGTCTGGTTGCGTGGAATCAATTTCAATCTGTTACCCAATCAGAGCTTTAGGGCAGCAGCTGAAGAAGGAACAAAAAGGGTTTTCCTGTGTGAGTTTCTTGTGGCTGTTTAGCTGCTCTCTCTGGGCAAAGAGGACCACTGTAGTCACCCCCAACGACACGTTCCCAAGATGGAGGGTGAGGGAACAGCTGCAGTCGCCTGTGGTTCCTGCGCAATGTTTGCCATCTTGCCAAGGTTGCAGGCAGCTTTACCTGCAGCAATTGCATGTTGATTGCCCTCTTAAAAGACAAAGTCCAGCAACTGGAGGAACGTGTAGCTACGCTCCAAAGAATTAGAGAGCTGGAACTCTTCTTGGAAGCAACAGAGCACACCGTCTCCACCAAGGAAGAGACAGGGGACTCCCCTGAGAAGGTGGCTAGTTCACCAACACAGGAGCCAGATATATGGAGAAACGTGACTCAAAGAAGTAGGAGGCCCAGGGTTCGCTCTGATTGTTTAGAAATACGCAATCGCTTTGAGGTCCTTTCCCCTAGCATGGAAGACGAAGAGCAGACTCCATTTGAGGATCTCTCCCTCATTACAGTCGATCAGGTATATGAAGACGAGGAGCAAAGGCAGTCCTCTGGGAATGTCCAGGCGACCTTGGAACCGACAGCTCACAGAAGAACCCCGACCAGACCTAAGAGGAGGCGTGTAGTGGTGATAGGGGATTCCCTACTGAGGGGAACAGAAGCAGTGATCTGTGGGCCTGACAAGATGTCTCGGGAAGTGTGCTGTCTCCCCGGGGCTAAGATCCAAGATGTAACTGAACGACTGCAAGGAATCATAAAACCCACTGACAAATACCCCTTCCTCTTGGTTCATGTGGGAACCAATGACACTGCAAGCAATAGCCTCCAGAAGATCAAAAGAGATTACGAGGCTCTGGGCAGGAAATTGAAGCAATTAAATGCACAAATTGTCATCTCATCTGTCCTCCCAGTTGACCGACGTGGCCCAGGGAGAGAGGGAAAAATAGTGGAAGTGAACAACTGGCTTCGCAAATGGTGCAAACAGGAACGGTTTGGATTCTTAGATCACGGAATGCAGGAAAGGGAGTTCATGATGGCTGGGAGTTTGTTAAGAGGGAGATAGTAAAAGCACAACTTCAGGCAATACCAATGAGACGGAAACATGGAAGGTGCCTAAAGAAGCCAGGGTGGCTATCTAAAGAACTTTTAACTGAGTTAAGATTAAAAAAGGATGTGTACAAAAAATGGAAAAGGGGGGAAACCACCAAAGAGGAATTCAAACAAATAGCCAGCACGTGTAGACACAAAGTCAGAAAAGCTAAAGCACAAAATGAACTCAGGCTTGCTAGAGAGGTTAAAAGCAACAAAAAAGGCTTTTATGGGTATGTTCGTAGCAAAAGGAAGAACAAAGAAACCGTGGGGTCACTCAGAGGAGAAGATGGTGAAATGCAAACAGGGGACACAGAAAGGGCTGAACTCCTCAATGCCTTCTTTGCCTCAGTCTTCTCCGATAAAGAAAACAATGCCCGACCTGAAGAATTTGGAGCAAATGATTCAGCAGAGGAAACACAGCCCAGAATAACTAAGGAGATAGTACAAGAATACTTGGCTAGTCTAGATGTATTCAAGTCTCCAGGGCCAGATGAACTGCATCCAAGAGTATTAAAAGAACTGGCAGATGTGATTTCAGAACCACTGGCAGTCATCTTTGAGAATTCCTGGAGAACAGGCGAAGTCCCGGCAGACTGGAGGAGGGCAAATGTTGTCCCTATTTTCAAAAAGGGGAAAAGAGAGGACCCAAATAATTACCGCCCAGTCAGTCTGACATCAATACCAGGGAAGATTCTGGAGCAGATCATTAAGCAAACAGTCTGTGCGCACCTAGAAAGGAATGCTGTGATCACCAATAGTCAGCATGGATTTCTGAAAAATAAGTCATGTCAGACTAACCTGATCTCGTTTTTTGACAGAATTACAAGCCTGGTAGATGAAGGGAACGCAGTGGATGTAGCCTACCTTGATTTCAGCAAGGCATTTGACAAGGTCCCCATGATATTCTTGTAAAGAAGCTGGTAAAATGCGGTCTTGACTATGCTACCACTCAGTGGATTTGTAACTGGCTGACTGACCGAACCCAAAGGGTGCTCATCAATGGTTCCTCTTCATCCTGGAGAAGAGTGACTAGTGGGGTGCCACAGGGTTCTGTCTTGGGCCCGGTCTTATTCAACATCTTTATCAACGACTTGGATGATGGACTCAAGGGCATCCTGATCAAATTTGCAGATGACACCAAACTGGGAGGGGTGGCTAACACCCCAGAGGACAGGATCACACTTCAAAACGACCTTGACAGATTAGAGAACTGGGCCAAAACAAACAAGATGAATTTTAACAGGGAGAAATGTAAAGTATTGCACTTGGGCAAAAAAAATGAGAGGCACAAATACAAGATGGGTGACACCTGGCTTGAGAGCAGTACATGTGAAAAGGATCTAGGAGTCTTGGTTGACCACAAACTTGACATGAGCCAACAGTGTGACGCGGCAGCTAAAAAAGCCAATGCAATTCTGGGCCTCATCAATAGGAGTATAGCATCTAGATCAAGGGAAGTAATAGTGCCACTGTATTCTGCTCTGGTCAGACCTCACCTGGAGTACTGTGTCCAGTTCTGGGCACCACAGTTCAAGAAGGACACTGACAAACTGGAACGTGTCCAGAGGAGGGCAACCAAAATGGTCAAAGGCCTGGAAATGATGCCTTATGAGGAACGGCTAAGGGAGCTGGGCATGTTTAGCCTGAAGAAGAGGAGGTTAAGGGGTGATATGATAGCCATGTTCAAATATATAAAAGGATGTCACATAGAGGAGGGAGAAAGGCTGTTTTCTGCTGCTCCAGAGAAGCGGACACGGAGCAATGGATCCAAACTACAAGAAAGAAGATTCCACCTAAACATTAGGAAGAACTTCCTGACAGTAAGAGCTGTTCGACAGTGGAATTTGCTGCCAAGGAGTGTGGTGGAGTCTCCTTCTTTGGAGGTCTTTAAGCAGAGGCTTGACAACCATATGTCAGGAGTGCTCTGATGGTGTTTCCTGCTTGGCAGGGGGTTGGACTCGATGGCCCTTGTGGTCTCTTCCAACTCTATGATTCTATGATTCTATGACCTCTGAGGATGTGGGCAAGCTGCTTGGACGAGTGAAACCAACCACCTGTCTTCTTGATCCTTGCCCATCCTGGCTCATAAAAGTGAGCCGGGAAGGGCTGGGCTCCATGCAGTGATGAATGCTTCCCTCCGTGAGGGAGCTTTCCCAGACCCGTTGAAAGAGGCGGTTATTAAACCGCTTCTAAAAAAACATCTTTAGACCAGGCCAATATGGCCAACTATCGCCCAGTCTCAAATCTTCCATTCTAGGGCAAGGTGATTGAGCGGGTGGTTGCTGAACAACTTCAAGCATGCTTGGAGGATGCGGACAATTTAGATCCCTTCCAGTCAGGATTTAGACCTCATCATGGGACTGAAACTGCCTTGGTCACGCTGGTCAATGATCTTCGGCAGGCTAGAGACAAAGGTGAGAGCAGTTTCCTAGTTCTGCTGGATCTCTCAGCGGCGTTTGATACCATCGACCATAACATCCTTCTAGACCGCCTAGAGGGGCTGGGAGCTGGGGGCACTGTTATACGGTGGTTCCGCTCCTTTCTCCTGGGTCATGTTCAGAAAGTGTTGTTGGGAGATGAGTGTTCAGACCCCTGGGTTCTCACTTGTGGGGTGCCTGTGGGTTCCGTCCTCTCCCCCATGGTTTTCAACATCTACATGAAGCCGCTGAGAGAGATCATCGAGGTTGGGGGTTGGGCTGGGTCAGTATGCAGATGCTACCCAGCTCTACCTCTCTTTCAAATCAACCAGTGAAGGTCCTGTGTGAGTGTCTGTAGGCGGTTGGAGGATGGATGGCAGCTAACAGATTGAGGTTGAATCCTGACAAGACAGATGTACTGTTTTGGGGGGACGGGGCAGGAAGGTGTGAAGGACTCCCTGGTCCTGAATGGGGTAACTGTGCCCTGAAGGATCAGGTGCACAGCCTGGGAGTCATTCTGGACTCACAGCTGTCCATGGAGGTGCAGGTCAATTCTGTGTCCAGGGCAGCTGTTTATCAGCTCCATCCGGTACGCAGGCTGAGACCCTACCGGCCTGCAGCCTGTCTCGCCAGAGTGATGCGTGCTCTAATTATCTCCTGCTTGGACTACTGCAATGTGCTCTATGTGGGGCTACCTTTGAAGGTGACTCGGAAACTACAACTAATCCAGAATGCTACAGCTAGACTGGTGACTGGGAGCGGCCACCGAGACCACATTACACCGGTCTTGAAAGACCTACATTGGCTCCCAGTACGTTCCTGAGCACAATTCAAAGTGTCGGTGCTAACATTGAAAGCCCAGTATACCTGAAGGAGCGTCTCCACCCCCATCGTTCAGCCCAGACACTGATGTGCAGCGCCGAGTGCTTTCTGGTGGTTCCTTCACTGAGAGAAGCGATACAGGGAACCAGACAGAGGGCCTTCTCGGTAATGTCGCCAGCCCTGTGGAACGCCCTCCCACCAAATGTCAAACGAAAAAACCACCAAATTTTTAGAAGACATCTGAAGGCAGCTCTGTTTAGTGAAGCTTTTAATATCTGAAGGAATATTGTATTTTAATCTTTTGTTAGAAGCCACCAAGAGTGCCTGGGGAAACCCAGCCAGATGGGCAGGGTAGAAATAATAAATTACTTAATCTTATGTAAAGCACTCCTTTTAAGTTGTTTGTGAGACATAACTATTTCAACTATTTCAAAGTACAATTACACTCATCTCTTTAGATGTTAAAAGTAAATTATGCTTCATAATGTTCTTCCTCACTCTGTGCATATTTGTAAGGGTAAAGCAAGTTAATCTAGTGATTTTCACCAATATCCTTTTATGTCAAAAAAAATGGAGGGCTGAATCATTAATTGCAGCTTCTTGTAAAAGTGGGAGTTGTTATGACCATGGAGAGTTCTCTGCCCAACATGGATACAAATATTTATGGCGTTCTGGAAGGTTGTGGAAATGGAAATCCATTAATAACAAGGTAGTTCAATCAGAATAAACCTTCCTAGTTCAGCATTAATGAAATTTTGGCTATAATCTAATGCCTTTTTTGGTTTGTTTCATTTTTTATTGTTGCAAATCTTACAGACATTAGCACTCTGTTAAGTAAAGGAATGTAGCACACATGAATACATCACAACAAAACAGAGGCCAAAAAATTAAAAATAAAGTAAAAAAATAACCACCCCATCCCACCCACAAGCTGCATTACAGAGAAAGGGGCCAGAAACCTGTGATAAGAATCTGAGAAATTACATTCAGTAAATGTGCAGTACCAACATTCCAGGTTCACATTTATATGTAGAGAGAGAGAGAGCTCATCAAGTTTAGTGTTTACAAGAACAATATTGTTACAAATACAATACTATACTTCTCCTGACGCATTTCAATGATTTCTACTCACCCTCTTTACAGAACAGTAGTATAAATTTCATATTCTTTAGTACTGTGCTCAGTCCCTATGTATACACACACACACACACACACACACACACACACACAAACACGCTTGCCATCTTCAGACACAGATTTCTGTTTATTCCCAGAAGTACAAAGACCTCCCCTCCCTCTCCCCAAAAGCTTGTACTTGAAAAATCCCAAAACATATTGCAAATTATAATGCAATTCAGACACACACATAGTAAAATGGTAAATCAAGAGGCAATTTCAACTGTTTTGTAAACATGGAAGAATTAATAAAGTATACAAGTAGGCAACTATCATTCTTGCTGAGTTTAGCAAACTTGAAGTATAAAATAAATTCTTCCTTTGATCCCAATACAGTACGTAATGCTTACTAGAATTTCTTAACAAGCTGTTAAAACATCAATTTTAAGATAACCTTTCAGTCCATATGGTTCTTTAACATTGAGAGGTCTAGAGCTGGAAATCAGGTCACAAGTCAGATTCCCTATGTACAAGCAGCACAACACTGCAACCGTGCTGAGAAATGTCCACATGAACCAGGTTGTATGTGAACACAGTTGACAATGTTTTTTGTAATTGTGACAGCACTCTCCCAAACTTCTGCAGTTCTAAGCAGTAGCAGCGGTTTGTCTCCATGTCTGGCTCCCCCTTCCACTGCACCTGTGAGGCCCTGTGTGCGATAGCCCTGTGTGTGTGTGAAAGCAATGTGAAACTTATGATGGAGCAATAAAGAGCAAAGAGGTTTAGGACATTGATAATTTTACTCCCATGTAATAATTGGAAAGACATTGAGTTAAGGACATGGTTAAGTTTCCACCAGTAATGGTCTGATTTTATTTATATATATCCATTCCAGTCCCATTTATATCCTAGTATCTTGGATGTTTCTTAATAACAGCTGTGAAAAGAAGCCTCTTGGCTAAACCTGAAAAAGAAAGAGATCTATTCTGTGAGTCAACATGGTTGAGTGGTTGGGCTTTCAAGACCAGCTTTTCATTCAGGGATTTTCTGGAAAAGCTGTTCTGTATATAGAGAAACAAGATTTTCCTGACTGGGTGTCAATAAGATGAATAATGGCTTAGGACAGGCATAGGCAAACTCGGCCCTCCAGATGTTTTGAGACTACAATTCCCATCATCCCTGACAACTGGTCCTGTTAGCTAGGGATGATGGGAGTTGTAGTCCCAAAACATCTGGAGGGCGAGTTTGCGTATGCCTGGCTTAGGAGGAAGAAAGTGTGTTTCCTTATGGGAAGCGGGAAGAAAGGGCTATAGGTTAGTTGGAGTTGGTAGGAAAAAATTGTGAACAACACTATGTATAATTTAATTTTATATGTTCTCTACATTTGCTACTTTTGCATTTAGTTAAGGAACTTAGGGGTTGTGTGCTGTTGTGTAAAGTCCATTCAAAACATCTTACTGAATCTAGGTAGCCTCAGACTAAGTACAAACTATGGCTGTTAATCTGGAATACCAGTATTACTATCTTTAGAGATCCTGTGGCTTAGAATCCCTTTAATTTAATAAAAGAGTTGTGCAGTGTTGTTACTCTGAAGATATTCAATTCCAATATTTCTTTGCATCATTATTTGGCCTAGTCAAAAGGATACTGATACTTCTCTTTTCTACTGCAACTCCCTATTTCAGAAGTGAAAATGCAATCCTTGCACGCTTCCCATTGTCCCGGTAGAAAAGCTGTAATGACATACACAAAATCCACATTTTTCAAGGCCATTTTTGAGACACAGGGCGGCTTTTTCTCCCTCTCCAACTTTTTGTTCATTTACACCTCACTCCCCCTGTGTCACAGCTAATTAACTTCAATAAGCTGAAAATAATTCTTCTGGTTTTGCTTTGGAAAAAATGTGGCCAATTTTTTTGGAAAAAGACTTTGCTTACATACATTTGCTAATGGTTTCTTATCTAGCATGCTGTCCAGGTCCACACCACTTTGCGGTGGTGCAATAAAGCAATAGCATCTGACGCCGGCCAAAACATGCAGCCAAATATGCACAAGTCCTGCCCCCTCCAAAGCAGAGTTGCCTCTTGGTTTCCGTGGGCTGAGGGGTTAGCCAAGTGAGGAAGATATTGTTGCTAGACTTGCCCAGGTTGAAATATTTCTCTCTCTCTCTTATTATCTCCTATAAGACTACTACAGAGTCTTTTAAAAGAGGCCCCGTGGAAAATGTGTACTCTGTATCCACAGGGCTTCTTTTAAAGGACTCACCCTGTATATGGGCAATATTATGCAACTGTACATGAACAATTCGTTTGTGAATAAAGAAAGGGAATTAACATTCCATTCCTTAGCCTCCCTAACAACTTGTGTGTATCGCAGGGCTTGGTTGTGGCTCAAGCATCTGTTACACAACCAGCTCCTTTCCTTCCTAGAACTTCCATGGCTGTAGTGGGAAGTAGGATCCACATGTAACACCCATACAGGGCACTGAATCCCATCAGAATCTGCAACATGTGTGCATATCCATGCAACATGCAAACACCCCCAACCCCTTCCCCTGATACGTCAGTGTTGCCCTGGACAGTAAATTGGGCTACCACTTTATCAGTAGTATTCCAGATTTCCTACCCCCTACACACAATATTAGGTTCCAGAAATGCAGCTCTCTTTCCTACAAAGAATACTGGGACCCCTTGAAGAGCAACACATGTATTGTGAATGACACAATCTTTTGTGGGCTCTGCCCCAAAAAGGATCATGCCATAATAAATTTTTAAGTGTTTAAGGTGCCACAGGAGCATATTACAGTCTATGGACTCCTTTGATTTTAAATATTATGACCAAAACCTTTTGGAATGCTCTTTCATTGCACGAGCATCTACAGTAAGTGAGCATACCCTTTTAGTATCCCAGGCATGGGATTAACTTTACATATATTTATATATATATATTTATATATATATATTACAAAATAAATTAAGTTTATACCTTCCACTATTTTCCTATGGTCCAAAATTAATGAGAAATTTTCTTTAAAAAAAATTAAATACAAACTTTTGGACCAAAGATATGTTAGAAGTAAACTGGCTCAAAACAAAACCATTTGGAACTGCATGTAGACTTGCTGAAATACATAAATATCAAGCATACTGTTTTAAAATGTGACAGCCTATCTGCCCACAGACACATTCATACATACACAAATGGAAAAAAAGTTAGAAAGTTAAGATCTGACAGCAGTATTGTCCACACACCCCACACTGTTTCTGGTGGACCACTCAATCTTAGAAAGTACAGAACAGAAAAGCCATTGCAAGAAAAATCATGCTACACATGACAAATAGGAGACTTTGGGGAGTGTGTGAGGTGGTGGAGAAAGACCTTGCAGCATCATCTCTAGACAATGTACATTTTATTCCCAGAGGATTTTCAGCATGGGGTGTGCAGAACCCAGCAGCAGCCCCCTCCTCATAGACAGGTCTTGAGCTACATTAGGAAAGCAGAGCTCACCTGAAAGACAAGGTGTCATCCCATTTCCTTTTTCAAACACATCACAACTTTTTCTTTAGGGCAAAATTGTCAGCTTGTTGCTAACATACGCCTAACAGCAGCTATGTAGGATAGAACAAATCTGCATCCTTTCTGTCACTCAAAGAAAAGAATTTTACCTATTTGGTAAAAAGAGCTTTCTAACTTTATTTTCTATCCTAACAGCCAGAGAGGCATAAAATGATGTAGCTGGAACAAGTGTGTGCATGTGTGTGTGCGCGCGTGAACAAGAAATTCTTGGTTAGTTTTCCGTTTTGTGAAGAATTACATAAAACTAGTAGTAAAAAGGTGCAACCCAAAATGTCATCTTGTACACAGAATGATAAAAGGTGAGAAACAAGAGTGAGACATGTTGCTGCAGAAATAAAAATGCAGCACAAGAAAACTCCACTAACGAGGAAAAGTGTCTCCCCTGCACACTGGATGCGACAACTTTAGATGTAAACCGGTTGTTCCTGTGCGGTCAAGAGTCTGTACATGGCAGCTGGCATGGTCTTCATATGAATCTGGACAAAGGAAAGAAAGACTGGCGTCAGTTTCATATATGCGTTTTCCAAACATTCCCAGTTAGCCTTCTGAAAATTGAAGGGCTCCTTCCATCTGCGCAAGGGATTGAGACCTAGCAGAGGTTCCCATTGGAGGTGGAAGAACGGGATTTTAGCTTAGCTGGACTCCTTCCCTTGGCAGCTTGCCAGCTTCACACACTGTTGTGGAGGGTTTCCCATGCCTCTAGAACAGATTTGTGGGGCTTGCAGAGAGAAGGAAAAGTAAGCAAGGAAAATCCTGTGAATGGAGTTCTGCTTATGGAAATACTTCTTGCAACCCTTTGTGTTCAGGAATGAGGGAGATGTTCAACAAAAGGGGAAAGGAAAGAAAGAGTGTATCCTAAATTAAGGTACAGTACTTGAGTTTCTACATTTTTGCAAAGACTGCAACACCATCCATGTCGTCTAAGTTAGAAGTCCCACCGAACTCAGTGGGACTTACTGAGTTCAAGTAAATATAGGCATCATTAACAGATGCAAACATTAATCAAATGGGAACAAGTGTGCTACAGTTATCTTCAGTCTTTTCAGACCCAGGACACATCTCTAAGCATGTTTATTAATTTATTTTATAATAATCATTTATTTTTTCCTCCTCACTTGCATCATCTGTATTTCTTCATCTCCTTCCATCTTTAATACATCAACAAAAAGAAAACACTATAGTAGCATGGGGACTAGTTCAAGCAATTTTAAATTGGGATATTATCAAATTGTGGGATGCAACCTACCTCCACAGCTGTAGTGAATAATAAAATAAATAAATAAACAACAACAACAACAATAATAAAAAATTTCTACCCCGCCCATCTGGCTGTGTTTCGCCATCTACTATGAGCGGCTTCCAACAAAAGATTAAAAACAAGATAAACATCAAACATTAAAAACTTCCCCAAACAGGGCTGCCTTCAGATGTCTTCAAAAAGTCAGCTAGTTGTTTATTTCCTTGATATCTGGTGGGAGGGCATACCACATCTGCTGGGAGGGCGTTCCACAGGGCGGGCGCCACCACCAAGAAGGCCCTCTGCCTGGTTCCCTGTAACCTCACTTCTCACAGTGAGGGAAACACCAGAAGGAAATGTACTGGGAGCCAATGTAGGTCTTTCAAGACCAGTGTTATGTGGTCTGGGTGGCCTTTCCCAGTCACCAGTCTAGCTGCCACATTCTGGGTTAGTTGTAGTTTCCAGGTCACCTTCAAAGGTAGCCCCACGTAGAGAGCATTAAAGTAGTCCAAGAGGGAGATAAATAGAGCATGCACCACTCTGGCAAGACAGTCTGCAGGACACAGAATTGACCTGCTCCTCCATGGACAGCTGGGAGTCCAAAATGACTCCCAGGCTGTGCACCTGGTCCTTCAGGGGCACGGTTACCCCATTCAGAACCAGGGAGTCCTCCACACCAGCCCACCTCTGTCCCCAAAATAGTACTTCTCTTGTCAGGATTCAACCTCAATTGGTTAGCCGTGATCCATCCTCCAACCGCCTCCAGACACTCAAACAGAACCTTCACCACCTTCACTGGTTCTTATTTAAAAGAGAGGTTGAGCTGGGTATCAAACCCTCTGATGTCCACCAGCGGCTTTATATAGTTGTTAAAAGGCATGAGGCAAGAGGACGGAACTCTGAGGCTTGTGGGGTCACAAGTGAGAGCCCAGGGGTCTGAACACTCATCCCCCAACACCACTTTCTGGACATGACCCAGGAGGAAGGAGTGGAACCACTGTATAACAGTGCCCCCAGTTACCAGCCCCTCTAGATGGTCCAGAAGGATGTCATGGTCGATGGTATGTAAGGCCGCTGAGAGATTCAGCAGAAGTAGGAAACAGCTTTCACCTTTGTCCCTTGCCCGCCAGAGATCATCGACCAGTGCAACCAAAGCAGTTTCAGTCCCATGATGAGGCCTAAATCCCAACTGGAAGGGATCCAAATGGTCCACATCCTCCAACCACCCACCCAATCACCTTGCCCAAGAATGGAAGATTTGAGACTGGGCAATAGCTGGCCATATTGGCCGTGTCTATAGATGTTTTTTAAGAAGCGCTTTCAGCGGGTCTGGGAAGGCTCCCTCACAGAGGGAAGCATTCACCACTCCGCAGAGCCCATTAACTAGACCAGGTTTCCTCAACCTTAGCCCTCCAGATTGTTTTGGCCTACAATTCCCATGATCCCTAGCTAGCAGGACCAGTGGTCAGGGATGATGGGAATTGTAGTCTCAAAACATCTGTAGGGCCGAGGTTGAGGAAGCCAGGCCTAGACCTTCCCGGCTCGCTTTTATGAGCCAGGATGGGCAAGGATCAAGGAGACAGGTGGTTGGTTTCACGTGTCCAAACAGCCTGTCCACATCCGGAGGTGACAGATTGGAATTGATCCCACGCAGCTTGACTAGACAGGACTCTAGTACTCTCCCACCCTGGCCCAGCTCTCACGGTGGAGTCTACCTCTTCCCGAATCTGAGCAACTTTATCTGCAAAAAAACTTTGCAAAATTGTTACCAGGCCCCGATGGCAAAGGTGGTTCCTTAAAGAGTCTCCTGCTACTATTTTCTGCAGATGCAATAGAGGCGGTGAAGAAAGTCCTCTGCTATCGCTATCGCCACTTGGTAGGTTCGATGTTGAGCTCTAACCTGTGTCCAGTCCGATTCAAAATGGGTTTCTGCCACCGGCGCTCTAGCCGTCTCAGCGATTGTTTCATCGCCCTCAGCTCCAGGGAAAACCATGGGCTGTCTTGGCTCCATGCGATCAGAGCTTCGGCTTCGGAGCCAGACAGTCGATAGTCCTGGTTAACTCCACATTCCAGTGGGCCACCAGGGAATCAGCTGAAAGGCCATCAGCTTGGGATAATCCATTAAGTGGCGGGGGGCAGACCTTGCAAATTGGTCCACCTCCCTGCAGAGGGGAAGGGTTGCAGAGAAGTCCAGTTGCACCAGGGAACTGACCATCTGACCATGGCACTAGAGAGCTGGACCAGGGAGAGCCAAATGAAAATGCCTTCTCAGTGAAAAAGCTCACTAGGTTTGTTAATCTAGGTCTAGCATTAGGAAGCACCATGAGCTCCGGAAGCAAACGCCTTGCCTGCTGGGCCCCTGCTGCCACTTGCCTCTTCTTCACTGGCTGGAAGGGACCAGAGCAGGTACTCAATGCCTGACACCTGTAGGGTAAGAAGGAGGGCCACTTGGCCCTGACTGGAGTGCAGAAGGCCCTTGGCTTCCATTCAGCTGATTATGGCATCATGTGTTCCTGTGAGGTAAGCCAGAATGGTGGAGGATCTTGAGGGAAGGAAGCCAAGGGCTCACCTGAGCCCACTGCCTTACCCCTTAGCCCAACTTATCTAATCAATTTGATGTGAGGATAAGCCCCAAGTTGCTGGAAGGAAAAAAGAAAACATACAGAGGTAAATGTTTGTACAACTAGATCCATGGCCATTCAATGTACTTCCTGAGAAAGCCACACACAGCAGGAAGGGCTGACCTGCCCACACCTGTGATCTTCTTTGGTGCCAAAATGGCATGGGGGGGGGAGTGAAAATTGCCAGCTCCTACCTCACCAACAGCATTTGAAAGAATGTGAACAATCTTTTCATGAGGTGTTGCTACAACACTTTGCCCATTTATTTCAATGATTCGGTGACCCACTCGTACGCCTCCTCGCTCTGCAATGCCTCCTCGCATAAGGCTACAGATCTGGAAAGAGAAAATGCAAAAGAATGACAGCACACCATGTGAGGCCCAGGAACCATGAAAAGGCAGGAGCTGCCATTAGACCAACGTTGAATTCACACATCAGACATTAAAAACTTCCCTAAACAGGGCTGCCTTTAGATGTCTTCTAAAAGTCAGATATTTGTTGATTTCCTTGACATCTAATGGGAGGGCGTTCTACAGTAAGGGCGCCACTACCGAGAAGGCCCTTTGCCTGGTTCCTAATACAGTGGTACCTCAGGTTAAGTACTTAATTCATTCCGGAGGTCCGTTCTTAACCTGAAACTGTTCTTAACCTGAAGCACCACTTTAGCTAATGGGGCCTCCTGCTGCCGCCGCGCCGCCGGAGCACAATTTCTGTTCTCATCCTGAAGCAAAGTTCTTAACCTGAAGCACTACTTCTGGGTTAGCAGAGTCTGTAACCTGAAGCGTATGTAACCTGAGGTACCACTGTACTATTCAGTATTAGGGATGATATTTACAGAATCACTAGCAGCTTCAGTGTTATCCTGGCACCCTGAACTTACTCCTCACTAACTACAGCCACACCCTCACATGTCAACAGATTTCAGCTGCCATGCTTCTGGTTTTACCAATTAAACATGGGAATATTTCTACCACATATCCCACCGCTGGAAAAGCAACAATGTGCACTCTGCAATCCCCTTCAGTTACACTACCCCAATCCACAAGCAATATTATTAACATCTCACTTTCTGTTATTTAATTACTAGATATTATTCCTTCAATGAATCATAATAATTATATTTTTTAATTTATTTATACCACACCCATCTGGACGGGTTTCCCCAGGCACTCGGTAGCTTATAGAATATATAAAATATAATAAAGCATCAAACATTAAAAGCTTCCTTAAACAGGACTGCCTTCAGATGTCTTCTAAAAGTCTGGTAGTTGTTTTTCTCTTTGACATCTGACGGGAGGGCGTTCCACAGGGTGGGCACCACTACCAAGAAGGCCCTCTGCCTGGTTCCCTGGTAACTTGGCTTCTCACAGTGAGGGAACCACCAGAAGAACCTTGGAGCTGGACCTCGGTGTCCGGGCAGAACGATGGGGGTAGAGACGCTCCTTCATTCATTTGCTTAACTATCAGGTCCTTAATATTTATGCACATAATAATGCTTTGGCTAAAATTCAATAAAGGTAAAGGTACCCCTGCCCGTGGGACGCGGGTGGCGCTGTGGGTAAAAGCCTCAGCACCTAGGGCTTGCCGATCGAAAGGTCGGCGGTTCGAATCCCTGCGGCGGGGTGCGCTCCCGTCGCTCGGTCCCAGCGCCTGCCAACCTAGCAGTTCGAAAGCACTCCCGGGTGCAAGTAGATAAATAGGGACCGCTTACTAGCGGGAAGGTAAACGGCGTTTCCGTGTGCGGCTCTGGCTCGCCAGAGCAGCGATGTCACGCTGGCCACGTGACCCGGAAGTGTCTCCGGACAGCGCTGGCCCCCGGCCTCTTGAGTGAGATGGGCGCACAATCCTAGAGTCTGTCAAGACTGGCCCGTACGGGCAGGGGTACCTTTACCTTTTTACCCCTGCCCGTACGGGCCAGTCGTGTCCGACTCTAGGGTTGTGCGCCCATCTCACTTAAGAGGCCGGGGGCCAGCGCTGTCCGCAGACACTTCCAGGTCACGTGACCAGCGCGACGAAGCTGCTCTGGCGAGCCAGCACCAGCGCAGCACACGGAAACGCCGTTTACCTTCCTGCTATATTTATCTACTTGCACTTAGAGGTGCTTTCGAACTGCTAGGTGGGCAGGAGCTGGGACCGAAAGACGGGAGCTCACCCCGCCGCGGGGATTTGAACCGCCGACCATGCGATCGGCAAGTCCTAGGCACTGTGGTTTTACCCACAGCGCCACCCGCGTCCCTTGCAAAATTCAATACACTTGTATATTAAGTGCTTTTGAAATCAACTTCCTTTTTTATTAAATAAAATATCAATAGAGCTAGGTTTATAAACAGTTAAGAATATCAAATGCTACTTACAATGCCATTCTGAACACTGAAGCCAAGTTGATATCTGAGGTCTGGTCTTCTGATAAGGACAGTAGTTACTGGAGGGCATCTGACTATATTCAGCTTAACTCTAGCCTGATTTTTCAACCCCTTGAAAATATGGCAAATAAAATTTAAAATTAATCTTAATTTGTGCTGGAACATTACACTTTAGTTCAACTCGATGTGCACTATGGTACCATTTGCTCCATCATCACAATTTAAGAACATGCGCAGCAGAAATACCAGCTCATGTTACAGAACTTGAATGATAACTAATGCAAAGAGTAGCCACACAATAAAGTGTAGCTGCACAACTTCATCCAAGAAAAGTTGCTGCAGTGGAAAGGGATTCAGCCACACAGGAGTGGCTCCCACAGCACTTTGGAAAAATTGGAATTTACTTTAAGCCACTTCATTTCATAGAATTGTAGAGCTGGAAGGGACTCCAAGAGTCATCTAGCCCACCCTCTGCAGTGTAGGAATCTCAGCTGAAACACCCAGGACAGATGGCCATCCAATCTCTGCTTGTTAATCAAGCAAAGATACATGCACATAGATGTGGGAAGACAAGAAGGTAAATAAAACTACAACTCTGACAGTAGGAAAAGGCTATTCAGCAGCAAAGACACACAAGGTTGCAAGAGATTTCCATTCTGTTTTATAGCTTCCACATTTGGGGTGGTTGGTTGGCTTTATTTATACATGGAAAAGCACCAGACAATCCAGACCCAAACATCGGCTGTGTTGCATATGCCCACCCCTTTGCCTTCCCAGTCAGAAAATGCCCCAAGGTTCTGTATATACGTGCAGTCGTTCCACAAAGAATCAGAAAAGGCCAGCTGAGCTTCTAGCAAGTGCCCCATGGCACATTATGCTTTTGTTTTTAAAAAAGTTGAGAGTTCATATATTTCATTTTGATGACAGCTATCCTATAAGCCGTAAGTTGGTACTGGGTGGTGTGAGAAAAATGATTGACATGTATGGACTGGAAAGCAGATTTGATTAACATGTAAAATACCTGGGCCATGGTACACCTGAACAGGTAATGGCGAACCCAAATGCAGAAGTTATTTTCCATCTGGATGGAAACTAACAGCTAATGTCTATGCATTAATTGGTCACAACACCCATTTGCACACAGGCTCCTCTGGGTCATCCTTTCATGCTCTAGAATGTCATCATCTTAACAGCTTGCTTTCATGGTGCAAGGCTTTCCACGTGTGACCACACCAAAGCATCATCCCACTTTAACCTGCCAAGGAGCCAACAGCCTTCTTCCCTGCTACACCCACAGTCAGGAGCCCTTTCGAGACAAAGTCTATTTTCTGTACCTTTATGATACTCTGACAGGTAGAGAGTGGTAGGCCAACCAAACTGGTCCCGTTGATGGACATGATTTGGTCCCCTATGTTCAGCTTCCCCGATTTCTCAGCTGGTCCTCCATGCATCATATTTGCAATGATAACAGTAGGCAAGATGGATCCCCATCCGGACTCTACAATTACTACACCCAGAATTTCTCCCTTCTGCTTCTCAATGAAAACCTGAATTAGGAGAACAAAAAATGAGAACAACCTGAAACCTTTCTCCTCTATGAAACCTACAGAATAAATGAAACTGCCTTCAAGCACACACACTTCTCTCTTGCAACTAAATCAGTGAAGGCATCTGGAAGATTTACATCAATAAAAATATGTATAACATTATTATCTGTGCAACAGTGGAGTGGAATAAAGCAAAGGAACTCAGCAGGATTATTATTATGGGTTTAAATGACTACGAATTACATCTTCATAAAGTTATTTTTCTACAAAGTTTAGCACTGTATCTCTCAAGCCAGTTTCAAACATAGTGTTTTTGAAACAAGCTCTTGCAACCCCATGTTACAACTACATAAGTGAAAATTCTGAATGCATTAACACAGCAGGCCAAATATTTGAAAGCTGTTCCTTTAAAAAAAAATACATGGCAGATGGTAATCAATTCAATCTTGATAAATTTAGCACTATCCTAAAAATATAGAAAAGTAGGGTGTGAGAGGAGGAAAGACTGGCTGCTGATATCCCATGAGTGGAGAAGCAGGGACAGAAGTCATTCTTGAGGAACTCTAATGGCTGTATAATTGTTACTAGAATTGGGCTGCTCAGGGGGTTATTAGCTCAATGGCTTTGTTATTAGAATGGGTACATACATCTTTGCAATTTTCAGACTTAGAGAAGTGGATCAGGTCATCATTGTACATGTCTTGGGTGTTGAGCAGGTCACTGTATTCCTTCTGGCTCAGGTCTTCTGGATTTATCCCATTGGCCCTCAAGAATTCCTGGTAGGCCACACTAAATGCCTGACCTATGGACTGTGCAATTAGCTGTGCCTGTAGCAGTTGCCAAAGGGGAGGGGGAATGAAACAGGAACAAAATCAGACATACCAAATTAGTTCACAAAATCAAGTGGAAGGTGGAAAAGCTTTAAAAATGATGCAACTACAGAACACACATCAAAATGATTCTTTTTTATTAGTGGTTGCTGAATCATTTGGCTCACTAAGGGCCATGAGGTGGGCAAAATATAGTGAGGGCCATCATAAAAATTAGCCTCTTGTTCCTCACTTGCCAAGGGTCTCCTCAAGTACATCACTGCATAAGAGAAAAAGATGATTCCTAATTTGGGTCATACTTGCAATTTGTGTTTCTGGGTCTGCTCTGTATTCTTACCAGTTCTTATTCTCACCAACTCATACCCCAAGAGTAGTCTGGATGGCACCTTCCAAATGTCATGGAACAGGGGTCGGCGAACTATGGCCCAGGCGCTGGATGCGGCCCACCAGGCTCGTAAATCTGGCCTGCGGACCCTGCTGCCCGCTCAGTCAGTCCCTGCACTGGGCTAAATCGCCTTGGCATTTCCTTGAAAAGAAGCCAAGGACACCTCGCAGCACAGGGACTGACTTCTGCGATGCTGACACAGCTTCGGATTGGCTGCAGGAAGTTCCCGCAGCCAATCCAAAGCCTCACTGCCTGTGCGCTTAGGTAAACCCGGCGCAGCCATGGACGGAGAGGCCAGCGGGTCTGGGCCATGCCATGGGCATCGTGGCGGGTGTGTCACAGCAGGACACAGCAGGAGCTTGGCACACATCTCGGCGCTGCTGCTGGTGGCGAGCTCAGTGGCAGCACTGGAGCAGCTGGAGGGCAAGCTGCGTGCCGCCTGCTCGGCGCTCGGCGTGCGCAGCCTGCCTGCCGACCTGCTGACCTGGCCTCGGACAATGGGCCGCAGCATGTGGTGCACACTGCCTGGGAGACCTGAGGATGGGCCAATGGAGCGGCTGCTGCTCGTCAACAACGCCAGTGAGCGGGCGTCATCAAGATGCGCTCCTGAGTGCGTGCAGAGTGTGTTCCTCCTCCAGGTCCGGAGGCAGCTGCGGGACCGGCCTGCAGGTATTTATATTTTTCTAAATATAGTCCGGCCCCCGACAAGGTCTGAGGGACAGTTGACTGGCCCCCTGATCAAAAAGTTTGCTGACCCCTGTCCTGGACTATAACTTCAGCCCCAGCCATCATGGCCAATGGTCAGGGATGATGGGAGTTGTGGTCTACCAACATCTGGAGGGCACCACAATGACTGCCTGTCCTGAAAGAAAGGAAGCATTTGTTCTTCCTCTCTTTGCTCTCTTCCTCTGTTGTCCTTGTTTCCATCTCAACCCATATCCAGCTGGGATCATCTGGGTCAGCTCTCCCCATCTGGCTGGTCATTCCAGTCATCAGCCACTGCCCACTCCCCAGATGACTGAAGGAGAGCCTTCTCTTGCACTGTGATCAGTAGTGGTTGCATTTGAAAGTGGGAGGAACAACTCTTTGCTCATTTTCAATGCAGAAACAATAAAGCTCCTTACATCCTCAGATTCAAAGACATGGCAGATCATTTTATACTGTCTCTTCCCATCCTGGGAGGGATGAGATGCCTCCACATTATCCTGGGAATTAGATCTTGGCATTCGCCTGCGAGCCATCAAGACGACTATATTCCCAATATCTGCAATGTAGGAAATGGTCCTCAGAGGATGATCCATCATAGTTTCCTAGAAAAGACAAACCCTTCCATTAGTGTTCTTTAGCACTAACACATAAGAATTTAAAAAACATTGGCATTCAGTGCACACAAACACTTACGTTTTCCACATTAAAGGGAATTTTCATCACCTCCTAAAAGCAAAGAACAGTAGAAGTTCCCACTTGCAAGATCTCGAATTGCAGCAGTATGAGGTCAGGATATCTATACCTCTTTGCAGAAGGCATAAGCTCATCTGATTTTGGACTACAGCAATCTAGCAGTACTTTTGAGTTATATTTGTAGCCCTATGCTCCCTCCCCCATAATACTTATTTAAACCTAAAATGCTAGAAGGCGTTTACAAATCTAGCATTTTTTTCTTCCTTGTCAAACTGATATTTCTCGGCATAACTTTTATTTTTGACCTTTCTTAGAGTAAGCATCTGCAAAAATATTTAGCTCAAAAAAGTGGAGAAATAACCTTTGTGAAATGAATGACAAAAATAAAACAAAACTATGTTGATAGCTCCTTTTATAAAACATTCAGGGTGCAATAATCTTCCTGCCTCACTTCACCCCCTAATAAATGATCTAAAACATGCTACCTTCAGGTTAATAAAAGGAACAAATGCAAATAAATACAGTATATGGGTGATGAATCAATGGTGATAAGACAACACTGTCTTATCTTGATAAAGTGATGGGTATTTGCTGTACCTGAGTGTCTGCATTCAGCACTTTTATTCTCTGCGTTGAGATAAAGAGGTCAACTTCTGTCATGGGCTGAGATTCACCTTCAGGGGCCTGCAATTAAGGTCAGAGTTAATCAGTAACAGCAACAACAAACAAGCATTTGAGGAGAATCCGTGAACAGAACTGTGTTAGATCACAATTCAAAAAAGCCTTAGGACACAGTCATCAGAAGAGCAATGCAACATGTAGCATTAAGATAGCAGAAGCTAATGTTATGCACAGAGGTACGGAAGCTGTCTATAGGGATACGAAATGTGAGTTACAAGCTCAAGTCAGTACTGTGCACAAAAGTGTTAATTCCCTACAAATCTCTTGCCTATTATCCCTGTTTCTTTAAGGGGAAGCTAGACTTGCGCTCTTGCACATATCCCTCCTCTGCTTTCCCACACATAGAAAGAAAGTACTGTGATGTTCACTGCCATAACTGGGAGCTCCCTGAGCCTATGAAGTGATCAAGAGATGCTTAGTGGGTTCAAGGAGAGCCTGAGTATACACAAACCTCTGGTATTTGTCTTGTTAACTTCCTAATGTTGCAAGAATATCCTTGACCGGCAGTGGGGGGAACTCTATAATCCCATCTGTTAGAGAAGGAGTAGTCAGCATGGTGCCCTCAAGATGTTATGGGAGTCCAACTCCCATACAAGCCGCCAGCCAACACAGCCTATAGTCAGGCAGGATGGGAGCTGAAGCCCAACCAGGTCTGGGGTGCACCATGTTGGTTAGCTCTCTATTACAGAGTGGTTATTTAACAGAGTTAAGGAAGATGGCATAGAGAAGAAATGGACAAGGATATATACAGTGACCTTTTCTCAATGGCAGCCTTTTTATATTTGAATAATAATTTTGCATTAGGAAAATGTGGAACTTTTGCATATATCTATTTATAAATTGTATTTAATAAGTGAATGAATGAATAACCTTGTCCTCAGTACCCCAGAAGAATGGGAGAAGAGAGGGGAGGGCAAGGTAATGACCCCAAAGTGCCCAGCTCTTCTCTCCTTTGATGATTATACAAATGGGGTGCTCTTATTGTATTCTGAGACAGTCCAAAAGCACTCCTTTTCACACATGCCAGTTTACATTTCCTCCCACTCATGGTTGTTCTGGCAAAAAGAGTAAGTCACAAAGCCTGCAAAAATGGAAAAAAATGGAAAACGAAAACATCCAACACACCCCAAAGATCAGAGTCTGTGATGTATAATACAGGAATGTATGATGCAGTTCTGGTACAAGAGTCATTGTGGTCACTAGAGGCTAAACGGCTAGGAGCACAATTTCGTACAGTAAAAATTGGCCAAATTTTTAGAAAAGCACCTAAAAATTCCATTTAAATCCCACAATGATATGTATTTAGTAATCTTAGTATAGTATATAATTTTATGTCTATAAAGGTTTGGGTTTTTTTGCATCCAGCAATTTAATAACCTCCATGAAATCACATGAAACTACCGTTTAAACACAAGCTGAAATACACAGTTTTAGAAGCATATCATTTGATATATTTAAAACCTTTCTCAGTCAGCTCTATAGTTGGAAGATAGTTTTGGGAAAAGCCTATTTTCCATTTAATTAAACCTTTCCATTACCCTACTTTGCATTACCCTACTAACATGAAATGGCTAATGGTAAACAACAAAGAGTAAACCATGCTACCGGTTATTTGAAAAATGTCAATTTATATGGGGGTTCAAACAAATTGTAAGAAAAGGTTTGCTGGATACAGAATTTTTTAAAATAAAATGTGAAAATCAAAAGTAAGAAATGCAAAAACAAAACAAAAAAACAGGAAAAACATCAAGCTGATGAGTTTGTACTGCACCTTCTTTCTGCTTTTGGCTAATTTCTGGGCCATCTGCTTAGCATGTAATAAACAGAGACAGGAGAATAGTTAGAGAGGTACTTTCAGAGACTCCAAGTCAAGTAGGGATCTAGAACATCAGGACTATGACTGCCATCTAGCCAAATTAAGTTCTGCGTCATAATACAAATTTCACACAGGAGAGTAAAGTTTTATAAAATAACCCTGTACATAGACACCAGTCGAGAGAGGAAGGCAGACAGACAGACAGACAGACAGACAGACAGACAGACAGACAAACAGACAGAAAAAGGAAAACATTTTGCCCAGTAACTTAAAAAAAAAAAAAGACTAGCTGTCTTAAAGGAGAATCTACTGTTGAGAGAGAAATAATTCTGCTAAAGAGCAAATTCAGCTATTGCTACTGAATACATATGAAAGATCATTTCTTAAATCCACAAGAGAAAAGTAATCCAGCCCTGGCACTCCAATACAGCCAAACTCCATCCAATCCTAAACATGGTACTAGAACTCAATATAAACAAATGAGTCTTATTTTTGTGGAGGCTGCTTGAAAACATCCTCAGCCAGATGGTTTGCCATGTAGATCCTTGGCCTCCACTTCCAAGGAGAAACAGATGCTCCCCCTTCAGGTTGCCCCCTGCTCTACACACAGAGAGTAGTTGTCCTGCAGAGGGTGTTGCAAGCCACCTCCACTTGGCAGCTGCAGCTGTAAACCAGCCTTTGGGCAACTGACCAATGGCTATTCTACTGGAGGGCCACAGGTAAATGAGCTCCTGAGCCCCCACAGCCTCCTGGTGGCAACTGGCATGAGCATGGCAGATTTTTTTAAAAATCATCCCCCTCCAGATGAGCAGCACTGCTAGGAAATGGTGTGCCTCTGTCAACTCCTATACTGGGTCTTCGATGTGTATGTACTAAAGGATCACACCATATGGAGGATGCCTACGACCAAGACCAACCGTCTAGGATTCCAGGTATTATGTACTATAAGAATGGCTAGCAGCCATTTGGGCCCACAAGGAGGAGATGTTTTGACACAAAACTGACTTGAAAACTGATCAGAGAGACGTGGCACAAAGCGGCTGTCTCCCAAACCATGCCCATCAACCCTCCACACAGAGACTTAGGTGCCACACTAAAAAAAATATTGAGAATTCATTCCAGATCTTTCACAAAAGTTGATTTTTGTTTGTGTGGCAGGATTTTTTTTGGGGGGGGGGTTTACATTATTTCTAACTGAACAATGATAACATGTGAATGCATGCCAAAAAAATCCAGAAAATCTCAGCAGCTCTACTGCTACAAATGGTAAACACAGAAACCCTGAATGTGGAGCTGAGGCATAATCTAGGAGGAGTGATTGTACAGATGGCTAGAAAGAACACAAAGATGTGGGTCTAGACAGAAGTATTTCTGTTGTGTCCCTTCCATGGTGTGCTCTAGAGACACACACTCCTTTGGGGAATGGCCATTCTGAGGCACCAAACAGAAGACTGAACAATCCCAATGAACCAAGCTGGTGCAGTGACCCCCTCCTGACACCAGTACTGTTGCTGCCCACCCCTGCTGGGCCAGAGGGGAAGGGCAAGGTCAGGAACACCCAGCACCCTTGCTGTGAAGGTGGTTAAAGACTTCAATGAACCACTAAGGGGCCAGAACCATCCAGGCCTCCCCAGCCACTCAATGTGCCAGGGGCTGAGGCACAGGGGGAGCAGTGCTCTCAGTTACTGGCACCAGTACAAAGATAACAGTTTTGGCAGTTTGTGCTGGATAATACACAGGATGGATTTAAAATACTATTAAAATACATTTTTAAAAATACAAAATATACTGTACGTATCTATACTTCTTATAAATTCTGTGTTTATGTCAGATATCTACCAGAAAATACACAAAATGCCATTTAAAACTTCTTCAATCTTACCAGCACATTTTTGAAAAGGCTTAGCACTACTGTATATCAGTATTTTTCCCCTCCCTGCATAGTAAATCCTCAATACCCATTCCATGGTCATCATGTTCGTGTGAGCATTCTTCTTGGGCTTGATCACAATGCAATATATGTTAAAACAGCAAGACGGTGTATTCAGTCTCCCAAACCAGCCTTCCTTCACCCTCCAACCCACTGCACCCCCCACAGGCCTCTCCAAACTATTCGGAAGTCGGCCTACAGGGCTGAACACTGTGGATGGGTTGGATAATCTGTGCCTAGAATAACGGAGGAAATATTAATTTCCCTCCAGAGACCCCTTTTGTTCAGATTATAACGATTATGTAATAACGTCCACTGCTGTATGATGTCACCCACAGAGCATGAAAACAACTTATTGTATATGAAAAAATGACCTGGCAAATTTTGGGGTCCAAACACAAATTACTACTAGAGTGCATTTCAGAAGGGAGTTTAGGCATGCACCATTCCTAGATTCAGCTTTGACTCTTCCATAGAGACAGACAGTAAGAAATATTCCTCACCTTGATTCGGCTCACAGCTTCCTGAGCCTGCATCATCCTCACATTCTTTGACGGAGTTTTGTCTGAAAGAAGCTGAGTAGAGCCAAGGTAATTGGCAGCAAATATGATTCCATCAATTAAATCTTCAGGATCACAGGGTCCAGGAACTACAGGATGGAAAAATTGAATTACTGAGCAAAATTATGCTGCTAATGGGAAAGAGAGAGAACACTCCACTTCTGGTGCCAGAAGCAAAGGCTTTGGACTGGTTGAAATTCATCATGATAGCAAAAGATCAGATACAATGAGAGGAGACAAAGAGCGACCAGCCTCTCTGTCACAGAGACAGCACTTGATAATCCAACCTGACTCTTACATTTGCTCATTCAGTTGAAACAAAAGTTCACCCTGAAGCAAAATAATCTCAATGGATTTTTCTCTTTCCTTGTCAGAAAGGCACAAAGCACTGGCTTGGCCCCAACCCCACCTACAACCAGGGTTATATAACATCAGATAGGCTAAAAACAAGGTGCAAAATGACACACAGCTGAAAATGCAGCTTTCTGTGCATGTGCAGAAGCATACGGGAAGCTCAATTTCTCCTGTGATGAGGACGCATCCAGTCGCCTTTCTGGTGTCAATGAGGCAGCACAGGCTGGGTTTCTCTGCAGCCACCTATTTGCTGAGCAATTGTGGCTTTACCAACGGAAGCTCTGCCCAGCTTCTTTGTGGAAGCAATGTCTCCTTTCCCCAGATATCACCTGCATCTTTCCAAGGTTTTCTCTGCAATAACAAAGGCCAGACACTGATATGTACCCAGCAAAGGCAATCCTAGAAAGAAAACATTAACCTAGACCCACACCCTGCCCCAAATACAGTGGAGATTGGTCCATGCCAGTGAATGTAAAACTGCCCCACCAACCTCAGGCTAGGCCCCCCCCCCGACCTGCCTTACAACCGGTCCAGGGAGAATCATATTGGTGTTGCCCTTGTAGAACACAGGAGGAGGAGGATGGGGGAAAACTAAAATTAATTGGCTCTCGCTCCACTTAGCAGAGGGACTTCTTCCCTACAAGTCCCAGCAGCTGCCCCTGACCAAATAGCTCTCAACTCAGGAGATCCTAAAAGGTATCCATAACCTGTTAAAAAACTACCTTAGCCTTAACTCAGTTTAGCTGGACTAACTACAAGTCTATGACTAGCTCCTAAAATTATTTGACAGATGATTTGTTTTTTGTGTTAAATTAACTGGCTCGTTCCTACAAAGTACATACAGTTTTGCACATGACAGCAACACAGTGTACTTATACCCTCCTTTGGACAGAATATTCCAGCTTAGCAGTCCTGGTGCAGGGAAGAGAAAATACAACAGTCTGGCTAACAAACGACACGGCTTGATCTGCAGGCCAATGAGATCTTCTTTGCTTCCACTGCCCCCAGAGGAAAAAAGGGTACATTATAACTCAAATATGAGAAGAATCAAAAGAAAGGATATGCATGTGTGTGAGAGATAACTGTGGGACTTCTGTATTCACTTTCCACTTTAGGTGTCCACTTTAAGTGTTACAAGCTGTGCAAAAGTACAGTCGCAAAAAGAGAAAACAAATGTTATCATTGTTCTCTCCCATGCAGGTTTCGGATTCTAGCCTTTTCTGGCATTCCAAGCCAGATGATCTTCAACACAATGCAACTTCTCTCTTTGAGAATAGATTTACAATTAGGTTGAGCACTCTAAATCATAGTCTACTTTTTTTTGAAAACTAAAAAGCAGGTTTGGAAAAGCTCAGCGTAACAAATGATAGGCTCAAGGACATCTTTGAAAGCAGGAATTCAAATTGGGAACCTGGCTTATTGTAAATCATGTTTGTGCTTTAAATGTTCAACACCCTTGCTCAGATTGTATGAATCATAGAACTGTAGAGTTGGAAGGGACCCAAGGGTCATCCAGTCCAACCCTCTGCAATGCAGGAATCAGCTGAAACCTCCAAGGAAGGAGGGTCCACAACTTCCCGAGGGAGACAATTCTACTATCAAACTGCTCTTACAGTCAGAAAATTCTTCCTGTTTAGTTGGAATTTCCTCCTTGTAATTTGAAGCCATTGATTCGAGCCCTACCCTTCAGAGCAGGAGAAAACAAGCTTGTTCCCTCTTCTATGTGACAGCCCTTGAGATAGTGGAAGATGGCTCTCATATCTCCTCCCAGTCTCCTCTTTTCCAGGCTAAACATACCCAGCTCCTTCAAGCGCTCCTCGTAGGGCTTGGTTTCCAGACCCTTGACCATCTTGGTTGCCCTCCTCTGCACACCTTCCAGCTTGTCAACATCCTTCTTAAATTGTGGTGCCCAGAATTGGACACAGTATTCTAGGTGTGGTCTGAGCAAGACAGAATAGAGTGGGACTATTACTTCCCTTGATCTCGGCACTAGACTTCTGTTGATGCAGCCTAGAATAGCACTAGTTTTCTTGCTGCTACTTCACACTGTTGACATGTTAAGCTTGTGGTCCACCAAAATCCCTAGATCCTTTTCACATGTATGGCTAGTAAGACAGGTGTCCCCTATATTTGTGTATCTGGTTCTTTCTGTCCAAGTGCAGAGCCTTACATTTGACCTTACTGAAATTTATTTTTTAGTTTGGGCCTACTTCTCCAACCTGTTAAGGTCATTTTAAATTTTGATTCTGTCTTCTGCAGAATTAGCCACCCCTCCCAGTTTGGCGTTATCTGCAAATTTGATGATCATCCCCTCAATTCCTTCATCCAAGTCATTTATAAAAGCATTGAACAACAATGGACCTAGGACAGAACCCTGTGGCCCTTCTTGCCAGGATGGCGAGGAACCATGAATGAGTACTCTTTGAGTTCTGTCAGTTAGCCAGCTACAAATCCAACCAAAAATCTTAAAAAATGATTTATGCTGAAAAATGTAAAAGCATAGAGTGTGTAATAGATAATTCCACAATACAAGAAGAATTTGTGGGGGTTGAGACAAAACACTGTCAACTGAAAAACAACAACCATCAATAAACAAATTAGTATTCAATAAAACATAATTTTAATGATGCAATCCGTTAACCAATTCAGCTGCATGCACACAATTATAAATAGTCCATAAGTTAGTCCAATACTATCCATGTTTCCAGTGGGTTTAATGGGATTTATTTGTTGCTAAGGACGTTATAGGTCTGCAACCTAAGGCAATTTATAATGTTCACAGAGGATATATTTTCGGGCAATAGTAGAGACATCAGAATATAAAGAATAATGTTCTGAACAAAAGTCAGAATTGCACAGTGTTGGACTAAGACTGATCCAACCTCCACTAAGCCAAGAATCTTACACCAGGGGCAGACACTCTCCACCTAACCTACCTCACAGGGTTTTTGAGGGTGGGAGAAGACCCAGGTACCCTCTCCTAAGCTCTTTGGAGGAAAGGTAGGATATAAATGTAATAACTAAATAAATTTTAATGTACCTAAACCAGGGGTGGGCTAACCTGTTGTTGGACATCAAGTTCTATCAACCCCAATCAGCATGGCCAACAGTCAGGGAAGATGGGAGCAATATTTGGAGGGCCAAAGGTTAGCCAACCTTTGGTTAAACAAAATACAAATTTACGTACTCATTAAGTAGTTTACTGGTTACTGGTTTACTGGTTGTGCAACTGAAGGCTAATATTCAGGTGACCATTAACATCGGCATATAAAAGCCCCCAGAGAGCTTGTTCGCAGAAGACAGTAGGACAGAATCGAGCATATAGTCAAAAGCATGCAGACAACATTATTGTCACTATTAGTTTTAATTGTGATTATTAATATTCACAAACAAAACTGCCTGAAAATGCTTCTAGGCCCCAATCCATGTTGGGCATAGTGCACCAACACAAGCATGTTAGCAAACTGGATGTATTAACCCCAAATCCAAGTGGTGTCCTGGCCCTTCCAGAAGGGCTCCCAGTGGAGGGAGGGACAAAGAGCCATTTCTGCTTATTTCCCCTCCCTCCTTGCAGTTTCCAGCACAGCAAAACAACTGAGAGTTGGGAGCCCTTCAAAACAGCCGGGTGTGTCAAAGGGGGTACAGGAAGCTTGGAGCAGGGAGGGGAAGAGGAAGAAATTGGCAAAATGCGGCTCTCGCCTTGTCTTCCATTAGCAGATGCCCTCACTCAGTGGCGTAGCGTGGGTTGTCAGCACCCGGGGCAAGACAAGTAATTTGCGCCCCCTAACCTAAGGGGGCAGAGAGCTGCGAGTGCGAGCGCGCCCCCCCAGATGTTGCGCCCGGTGCGGCTGGCCCCCCCTGCACCCCCCACGCTACGCCACTGCCCTCACTGAATTGAATGCCCTTCCGTGACTGAAAAGCTGCCCAGGGGATGTAAGCTGAGGGTCATTGGGTCATCTTCCTCTGGCTGAATTTGGCCTGGAGGCAACGAGAAGCTGAACCCAATGCAAGGCTTAAAAGAGGAGGTGGGGTTTCTCTTAGAGGTGGCCCACATGGACCAAGGTGGACATGATGAGTCTGACCGTGGCGTACAAGGATTTTTCTTTACGAAATAGCAGCCCCAGGACTACAGCATGGGAGAAGACACTTTTTTTAAAAAAAGAACTTCGCCCATGCCATTGTCCCTACATGGAGGACTGTGAATTATCATTGTCATCCAGACAGACATCAATGAGGGCTTTTCTCCTGAGGCAAATATCAGTTGCAGTGTGTAGGGAGAGATCCAGTTTGTGACTACAGTAGGAGCAAAAGGAACAAGCTACGCTAGAACCTTCTCCCTGGTGTGCCTGGGTTGTCTTTCTTAAACTTGCAAGTTTTGTTTCTAACGTGACAAAGCCTCTCCACCGAGTGCTGGCAAAAGCAGTAGAGGCCCTACATTCTGCTCTGTGTGCAGAGAACAAGCACTTGAGAAAGTTACTAAACAGATTGTGTGAATGGATTAACACCTGTTTTTAATTCACATTGCACTTATATGAAAAGGTTTTAAAACTTAAAGAAAGTGAGAGAGATTTTGATAGCTTACCTTCAACATAGGTTGGGAAAGAAGCCAAGCTTTTTCTTGACTGTAATTAAGACAAACAGGATATCAAACTAAGCTAAGCATGCTGAGGTATGCATTAAAAAGCCTTTCATGCAGAACTGGCAAAGTTATTCATCACACACTGACAGTTGTTACCCGATCTCTGTGGACAGCCTAGTAAGAAATATGTATACATATTTCAAAGGATCGGTTAATTATTATGAAGTTATCCTAGAGTGTAGTCTAGACCATTAGCATCAATAAAGCATTTCCAGGCTGCCTTTCCTACGAATGACAGATTTTTAAAGTTCCAAAGATGTCACAAACATTTATCATGTCATGAACAGAAACAAAAAAACTAAAGAGCTCTAGACTCTGGCAATGTCTTCAGGGTCTTAGGCTTACATTTATTCGAAAGAACTTCTTAGTAATCTCACTCATTGCTGAAGTTTAGATAAACTGGTAGTTTTAAGGTAAAAATTAATCCACTTTGATTGAACACAAACAATCCCTAAACACACAAAGAAACACAATGGGACTTACTTCCAAGTAAATACAGCAAATGTTTAAAATCCATAAAATACAATAAAACTGAAGCTACAGTTTGATTAGGTCCTATAGAACAGCATCTTGGAACAAGAAAATAACTAGTAAAGAGAAAAATGTCAAATAGAAGTATCAATTACTACCAAATGACGGAAGACCTCTTGCTGACAAGACACTTTCAGGAAATTAAGTACTGGTGTGAGATTGTGACATTTATTTCCACCAGGGAACCTGCTTCTGCAGCCATTTGATCTATTGCAATGCCTCTATTTTTGATACTCCGACTCCAATATCCTTTTAAATAATTCATCCAATTGCCATGAGCAGATTAAAGTGGTTTATCTTCTGGATTCAAGTAGGCAGAGATAATAAAGCAGCAGAACAACAAAGAGCATTTCTGAGAAAAGCTTAGTGGTACAAAACACACAGCCTTCAATTAACTGATATAAAAGCTTTACTATTATTATAGGTATCATTATTACTATAAATCTTGATTCCTTCCTTCAGAGAGAGTAGTTTTTACAAATATATATTATCCTTCAGAACAAATATTTGTTACAAATACATTTGTGTAATCTCCTGACTGATACTCCCTCCATTTAGGCATTTGGCTTTATAGAAAAAAATCTGTGCAGAAGCAAAACATTTCATATCTCACTAAATGTCTGGAGAAAGGAGGAGAGAGAGAGCACATGATGCATTTTGAGAGTAACTTCATACTGGCACATTCCTTAACACGATAAGTGTCAGCCTGCCCTGAGAAACTGTGATTGGTATTTTTTAACTAAAAATTATTCTTAAGAAAGCTATTTCCCCAAATGGACAGAATAACTGTGTCCAGTTATTCAGAATATAGCTCTTAGATTTGGCTGACACTGATATATCCTTCAGATTTCAGGAAAAGAGCAAATATGTCCAAATGCCTGGAAATTTTGAGAGGGAAGTACCCCAACTTTACCATCTTGGTCAACTGAGCCTGAGGGTGGGACATCTGCATTTCCACTTTCAGAAGAGAGATTCCTGAGGTTCATGTCTCTATAGTGTGTCCAGGCAGGTGAAGCAGAAATGATTCAGTTCTGACTTTGCACAGTTATAAAGTCTAGTGTCAATGAATTCCAAGGAATCAGTATCACTGCTGCCTTTAAGGAGCACATTTTATGTGCTCTTTGGAAAAGATGCCCACCCCCCAAAAAACCCACATCAAATATTACTAGTAAGCAGACACTATAAAGAATTCTACTGTTAACCTATTAGGACAAAGCATTTCAAAGTAAAGTAACATGCATGTCTTTGGGCAGCGGATTGTAGTACTATGGAAATTGGACTCTGCTTTGAGGAAAGACATTTGGAAAGTGTTGTGGCAATTCTCATTTCTCCCCTGAGGAAGGTGCTGCTGTTTGTTAAAAACGAACTGTGGGAATATCTCTAATATACTAAATTTAGGAATAGTTATCAGTGATTCCAGCAGTGTTTACATCCAAGACCTCCAGTCTATTAAACATAACACTACCTAATAAAAGCTGCATTCCTAAATCAGATTGGATTCAAATCTACTGGTGAATACATGTATTGCAGACTGCAGCCTAAATCTAAAAAGCTTATGGCTTACTATAAATAAATCATTTTTAAAAAGATTGTTTAATGCACAGAACACAATTAAGGAGTCCTAAATATGGGGAACATTTCCAGTAAAACTACTGCTTTTAAAAAGACTAGTACTCTACCTCCTTCTTGGTGGGGGTTTCTGCTGTTCCACAGACATCTTGGTGATGCTGCAGACCTGATGATTCAGCGCCTCGTGGGGAAGATGAATCAGGAGATGGAGACTAGACAGAGAAAAGATACACAATGAAATAAAATGCTGACAGAACAATAAATGGTATTTGTTGCTTTGAGATTGAGGACTGGGCAAAGGGTTCCAGCAAAATTAAACATGCAGCATTTCATGGAATTATATTCAGATTTATATTTTCTTAGAAGCAAGTCCTATTAATTTTAGGTCTGCATAAATGTAAATAATAAAATTATTGTTGAACCACTAATTTGGGGGGGGAGCTGCAGATATGGGCAAAAGACAATGCAAGAAAACTGCACATTAATAAATACATTAGGAAAAAGTACATTAGCAAGAAGTGGGACATATGATTTTCAACCCCCCTGTAGTGAGTTTTGGCTTAATACTGCTGATAAATATGTAATTAAGCAGCAAATTAAATTAAAGCCCATGACTGAGGCAACAACAAATCCAGACATTAAAACCCTCCCAAGTCATGCCTGAGAGAAAGCTGTTTATCAGGCTGTTTGTATAAACAGCACTTTTGTGGCTGGATATCTTTATCTTCTTCAAATCTTTACTTCTGGTCAAGTTCAATAGAAAGTAAAATCAGAGAGCCAAGCTTACACTGAAAATATGAGGACAACCATGTAATACAAAACTGAGTTCTAGTTTATACAATGTAATCAGAAGTAAAAGGTAAAAAAAGTAAAGGACCCCATGGACAGTGAAGTCCCGGCAAAGGTGACTTCGGGGTGCAGCACTCAGTGTAATCAGAAGTATGGAAGCAGAGAAAGATTTTTGAAAATTATTACTATTAGTATTTAAAGCCTTTTTATCTTGCTCTTTGGTTGGGGGAAAGAACTCTGACAGCAGCTTACAAATATCAATAAAACAACAGAAATTACATTATAGGTGACAAATCAAACAAACTCGGTTCTTATTTCTTTTACCATGCAGAGTCCTTCCAGGCGGCAGCTCTCCTCCTCTTTCCCCTTTGCCCCGCCTCGTGTCCCTCCCACCCCCCAGTAAAGGGGGCAAGCCCCTGGGGAACAATTCAGAGGAACCAAGCACTTCTTGGAGATGCAGAGAAGCCCCTTGAACCCGCTCTCAAAACCTCCAGGGCTGAAGCCACGGGGATCTCCTGGCTAGCCAGCACCAGCGCTGCCGCAGCTGTGCCAGAGGCTGAAGGACGGCTGGCAGGAGCCTGCTCACACAAGACATCTTTGGAGCGAAGGCCTTGTCTGGGGACCAGCTGCTGCCGACCTCTAAGCACAGGAGGAGGAGAGTCTGTCCTCCCCTCCCACCAAACACCTCTTTTTCAGGAAAATGGGGGGAAGTTCCCTTCCCGTGTCCATTGCAGTTCATCTTACTTCCCTCTTGCCAATGCCTTCTTTCTATTTGCTAAAAGAAAAGCCGGAGGAGAGAGTGCTGAAGAGATCTGTATCACTCCATAAGCTTGCAGCGACTAACCAGAAGTGACAACGGGACAAAATAAATGTGGTTACACATTGTGAAAAGCAAACTCTCCCTCCACAGTCACTTAAAAATCTCACAAATAGCAGTTCTCTACAACCTATTGTGTATCATTCACAATATTATAGAACAACGGCTATATTCAGTAACAAGGGCTGTAGTCTTCGCAACTATGTTGCTTGGATTTCTAATGCAGTATCCTTTGTACACTGCAACCTTTGCATCAGAAAAATGAATATTAAGCACCACTTGAATATACTTATTGTTCATAACTAAAAAAATTCAAAAATATTCTGTTTTTCCTATCATAATTGTTGTTATGGTAAGAACCAAAACACCAGAACAGATCCAAATTTCAAAAGAAAATATCCAAGATGCTTCTGGATGCTCCTACATCATCCATACATAGAAATGTCAGAGCAACACAACATTAAGCTTATTAAAAGTTTGGAATTGTGCAGACAGAACACCTTCAGGGGTTAAGTAAAAAAAATCCTAAATTGACAGTTACTCTCTTGCTACAATTCACTTACCATTCTCCTAAGATACTCAGCCTGATACATCCAAAAATTCTCCATTTTGATTTTGCTGCTGTTCTGCTCAACTTCAGAGTTGTCTGCTAATTGCTAACAATCAAGTGCCACCAAATTACTTTTTCCAGTGGTGTTATGTGCCTGGAACTTGAAATTGAAGCCTGTAACAAGAGATGCTGCTAGTATCCTATCTATGTAGATTAATCTTATTTGATACTGAATGGTTGTCAAACACCCATACATAAGAAGGTCATTCTCCCTTAGCAAGCAGCTATTCCTTTCATTTATTGCCTTGAAGACATACATTTCTAGCAGAATTGCAGTACTATTGGTATCTTCTGAATAAGTAATAAATGATATTAATGTACAGTTAGGTGGTTAAAGTACAAAGATTTTTTTTTAAAAGCAAGCATAATTTAAGAGCTATTATAGTTATGCAATTCCCCCCAGAAAAGAGTTTATAGCTGAAAGTAAGGCATAATTATAATTGGACCTGAAGTTAATAATGACTAGAGAGTCTCATCGTTTCCCCTCAAAGTTTGACTAAGTCTAGATCCAACCCAATGTACAGCCTGATCCTAGACATTTCATCTGATTATGGAATAGCCACACGGACAAAGTGCTACCATGGCTCAGGCTTACTGGCAAATGTGATAGAATTCAGTTTTTCAAGCAGATTTAAAGCTTTTATTACAAGCCCTGAGCCTTTGGAGTAGATCAGACTAAGAATAAGAGTTCTTTAGTCCCTGCAGAGTAAGAAAGTCCCCATTTTTGTCTTCTGGCTAGTGGAGGCCCTTAGGAGCCATAGTCATAATATTTCCTTTTCCCCCTTCTTGCATTTTTCACAAAGTTAGAATGAACTGTCTATAGTAAAAATGTTCCTTTGTTTGTATGTCCAACCCTGGTCTTTGATTAAACTGGGCTTCTGATAAAGCTTTATACATATAAAAATAAAAAATTATGGAAAACCTAAAGCTATCCTTCAGATCTGTACTTTTGTAATATGAATCTTCCTCCTAGCTATGTCCCCGCATTCAAGACGATGTCTTCTTTTTTCAGGTTTCCATTTAAAGGGAAATTACCTAGGCTAGGAACTTCTTGTACTCGAGTCTATTTCACTTTTCCATTTTGGTGAACAAGCCATGAGGACTTGGTGCAAGCAGGAAAATAGTGAGCATACATTTTATCTTTCCATATATTACTTGATTCTGAATTCTATGAACTGATATATATGTATTTGACATCTCAGTCTTACATGCAGTGCACAAATACAACTCCATAGAATTCTGAATCAAGCCTTTCATGGTTATTTGGAAAAAATATACCCACCCCCTTTTATCTTAGTCAGCAAAAGTCTAAGTATTCAAGCATGTAAAAAAACTGAAAATTACTTGTACTGTTTTTGGGGGACAGGAGGCGGGCAGGTGTGGAGGATTCCCTGGTCCTGAATGGGGTAACTGTGCCCCTGAAGGACCAGGTGCGCAGCCTGGGAGTCATTTTGGACTCACAGCTGTCCATGGAGGCGCAGGTCAAATCTGTGTCCAGGGCAGCTGTTTACGACATGGCTGCTGTTGCTGCTTGTGTGAGTGCTGGGAAGACTGCTCCCTCTCTTGCCAACTCCATCCGGCCTAGGGGGCAGGACCTGCACTCACTGCCACAGCTTGAGGGCCTCCATCAAGGCCTCCGGGACACGGCTGCTGTTGCTGCTCGCATGAGTGTTGGGAGGACCGCTCCCTCTTCTGCCAACTCCATCCGGCCTAGGGGGCGGGGCCTACACTACCACTACAGTTTAGAGGCCTGAGCAGCTACCGGCAGCAATGGACAAAATGGTTTTAAATGTTTTAATTGCTTTTAATTTGCAGCACCTTAAATGGTGGTTGCTGTTTTTTATAATATTATATTATTTTATTATTTTATTTTTGCTTGGGGAGGGATAAGCATTTAGTCAGCGCTATTGTTTCTTGCTTTGTTTTGTTCTGTTTTATTATTATTATTATTATTACTCTGTTAAATTATTATATAGTTTGTATTTTGCTTTTTAAGGGGTGGGGTCAGGGCTGCCTGGGAGTGGGTCCCAGCAAACAAAATGGCCGGGGCATGTTCCACAGGGGGGGATGCACTGGGACAACCGATCTCAGTGATCATGGGTAGGAGGAGGAGTTACGCTAAGACCAGACCATGTCATTACCGAGGAGGCAGGTTTAGTCGTTGTCTGAGGACTATCCCTGCCTCCAGGTCTGGTCCTGACCGGAAGGATACTGGAATCAGCAAAGGAAACCCACATGACCTGAAAGTGTTGCTGTGCAATGCCAGGTCAATGATGAATAAAACCACTGCCATCCATGACCTGATTGTGGATGGAGGATTTGACCTGGCATGTGTGACAGAGACCTGGTTGGATGAAGCAGGTGGGCCTGTCCTTGCCGCTGCTTGCCCACCAGGTTTCTCTTACGCACAGCAACCCGGGTCATGTGGACGGGGAGGGGGGGTTGCAGTGATTTTTAGGAAGTCATTAGTCTGCACCAGGCGTCCTATTGGGAAGACCGAGTTCTCTGAGTGCATGTTCTGGAAGTTGGGCAATAGGGGCAGTACAGGATTCCTACTGGTGTACCGACCTCCCCGCTGCACCAAGGATTCCCTGCCCGAGCTGCTTCAGGTCGTGGTGGATATGCTCCTGGAGACACCTAGCTTGGTTGTCCTGGGGGATTTTAACATCCATGCCGACGCGACCTTACAGAGCATGGCCTCCATGGGGCTGTCCCTGAATAAGTTTGGCCCAACTCATAGCCATGGACATGCCTTAGACTTGGTGTTCACCTCTATGGATGTTGGTGATCTGACACTAAGTAAAAGTGAAACAAAAGAAGTGCCATGGTCAGATCACTTCCTGGTGCAACTGGACTTCTCTGCAACCCTTCCCCTCTGCAGGGAGGTGGGACCGATTCGGATGGTCCGCCCCCGCCACTTAATGGATCCAATTGGTTTCCAGAGAGTGGTAGGGGATGCTTTATCCCAAGTTGATGGCCTTTCAGCTGATTCCCTG